CAGTGATGAGGAGTTTCCGGCTTAGACATAAATGAGGTGAGTGGAATTCCAGCTCAACCCTCTTCGGGCATTACCTATGAGCGGCACATCCTTTTCGTGCTCATCCTTACTGAAGGAGTCGGACTACCGGACTACCTGACAATTAACTGTAAACACATATATGGAAATGGACCACAACAGAAGATGAAGAAGCTATGATGTTGAGCTGGACATTGGAACTTGAGGGCATGACTACTGACAGAGCCCAGTGGATATTTGATTAAGGCTATACATGTCAGATATAATAACAGTAATTAATGAAAATGGCAGAGTGGAACAGGTTCACTAACAAGTCAGTGTTCAGTGCAGTGGTGATGATGATTAAGAATGAAGATTACAGTCATATGAATAATTGCAATTAATATATAATATAATAATAAATAATTGCACATAGCTACACAGTTTTTGGACTTTGGAATAACTGACTGTAACTGAGTTTAGTTTTACGCCGCCTTTAGCAATATTGTAACAATATCATGGCGGGGCACCATTACTGGGATTCACACATTGTACCCATGTGGGGAATCGAACCAAGGTCTTCGGTGTGGAAATGAACGAATGCTCAAACCACTGGGCTATCCCCCTATCCCACCCCACACACATACCACAAGGATATAGAAAATAGAAGACATAAACTTCACACTATGTTTGTTACTAAACATTCTTTCACTATTTCAGTTGATAAAACCTTCCTTAATTTAAATAATGCATTTGTGGAGCACATTTTATAATTTGTGTTTTGTGAATGAACAAAACAAGTATTTATAGATATAGATAGTACAGAGTCTATTTCATGTAAAGTCCTTGAAGTGTTGCAGATTTTTTTGATGTTTAATATAACCCAGGCTCCAAGGCACAGACAGGGACAAGTGTTATCTTCTGAATGGTTTGTTTACTTTAGATGAGGATGATAATGCTCTGTTTACTCATGCTCTGTAGAAATGTGGGTGAGTATAGGTCTTACAGTCAGTTATGGTAACATGATTACATTTCTTAGTACCGCCTCTGTGGTGTAGTGGTTAGAGCATCCGCCTGGAGAGCGGAAGGTCGCGGGTTCGATCCCCGACCGCGTCATACCAAAAAGACGTAAAAATATGGTACTTGTTGGTCCCTGCCTGGCACTCGGCATCAATGGGTACAACAAGGACTGGTCGGCTCGGAGTCAGTATAATGTGTCTGAGTGGGGTATTCATGCTTCACTGCGGCATGGTATCTCAGTGGGCTAGCACTATAAAACCAGCTTCAGTCTGGGCTAGTACAAGCAGCCACACATACACATACACATGCATGCACGTCGTCATATGAGCGAAATTTTCTCAAGCACGACGTAAAAGCCAATTTCACCTTACCTCACATTTCTTTGTACCCTGATGGTGTGGATTGTGATGGCATGGATTGTGATGGTGTGGATTGTGATGGCATGGATTGTGATGGCATGGATTGTGATGGTGTGGATTGTGATGGTGTGGATTAAAAAATGTTTTGCTGTTTGTTGCATTTCGTTTGTTGTCTCACTCAGCAATATTCCAGCTATATGGCGGCGGTCTGTAAATACTCAAGTCTAGACCAGACAATCCAGTGATCAGCATCATGAGCATCGATCTACGGAACTGGGATACGATGACATGTGTCAACCAAGTCATTGAGCCTGACCATCCGATCCCGTTAGTCGCCTCTTATGACAATCATTGGTTACTGAAGATCAATTCTAGCCCGGATCTTCATGGGAGTTGTTGGAACTGAGTACTAGAATTACTGAGAGTAAATAAGACCTACTGAAGCAGAAATTCTGCACGATGAGGGGTTGACAACAGGCTGCAGTAGGTGATGCATCTTTGTGATCATTACTGGTTACAAAGGTCAACAGATTATGATTGAAATCTTCTTTTTATCACAGACAAAAGTAGGAAGAAGTTTTCACATGTGCAGAATTTGATTTAAGTGTCCATACATCCTCTTGATGAGGCCAAACAGGATAATCTTATTAACAGATGCTGTTTTAAGGGAAATATATATGACTTTTTTCACATCCTATTGCAAGAACTTAACACAGTCCAAAACAATATGACTTGTTTATTCAACATTCAGACTCAAAACTGTCATTATACATCTCTGTTACATCAACACAACCTAACCAGATATCCTAGCATCATGTACCGAACATTTGATCACCTACCATTATTCACCAAGTTACTCAGCAGCATTAGAATGTACCCACACAGACAGTCAACATTTAATCACGTCTGGTATTTAGAGTTATCTCCCTTTGATCATAAGTGCTTGTTGTTGACACTTTGATTGCAAAATATAGATATAAAGCTCAGTCATATTATTTTCTAAATTTATTTATCAAACTTACTCATGACACTGTACAGAGTGACAAAAGAATTCTGTGTAACAAAACATTAAACTTCCTTTGACTTAAAGTATAAATTTGACCACCTGTATCTATATAAAACAGGAACAGCTAAGGCACACATTTCAGATCTTAAGAGTGACTAGGATATTATGAACGATGTATAGTTTTGACATATATATCACATACAGTAAGCAAACACAGAAAGTATTCTCATGCAGGAATTTAGGAATTTAAAGGCACAATGTCACACATTTTGGACAATATTTTGGCCCATATTATATATATTGGGGCATATGCACTCACTTTAGCTTCCTATTGATTCAATAAAAGACTTATTATCCCTTACAACTTGACTGAAATCGATAATTGAAACTTCGAGCCGAGCAGCTTCCACGTGCAATATATGGGAATGTAAATAATTGCTCCGTACATTGAAAACTGTCACACGCGGTGTTGTCGGTGTTTGCTGAACTGGTTTCAATCACAAGTTGTGTGTAGGATATTCGTAGAGAGCATTCCAAGGGACATAACTCTATGGGGTTCACTTGAAATAATGTTAAGCTGGTAGAGGACTCAATATTCGATTTAATACAGTGTTGCATTTATTCATTTGAACTTTTCAATTTGATATTGTGATCTAAATACATATTTCAAAACAAATAAATTATATGGTAACTTCCCTGAGGGCTGATAGTTAGTATTATTGAGAAAAATGCATTATTTATGAGATATAGTGCCTTTAAATTTCTTGCCCACGTTTATTTGACTAAAACAACAAAAATTCAGGCTCCTAGCAGTGTACCCATGCATTAATATCGCAACTGAAGCAGCTATGGTAATACAGACAGGCTCCACACACTGTACCCTTGCATTAATATCGCAACTGAAGCAGCTATGGCAATACAGACAGGCTCCACACACTGTACCCTAAATGGTGATATCACAGCAGCTACAATAAAGGCTCCAAGGATAAAGGCTCCAAGGATAAAGGCTCCATACACCTGGTCTTTGTGTGCACAGTTTCATGAAAGAATACCTATTAGCGTTAGAGATATGCTCCAGACAAACACACCACTACAAACTTGTTGTCATGGAAACAGGACACAAATTTGTTTTCTTTTAATTTCTAAACAGCAAAAGACACCGCTTCAGCCCTTGGTTAATACATGTACCTGGTTTGGAAGAAAAGTGTTTTCTGAACGCTGCTCCGGAAATGAAATCCACCCCCCTCCCTTTTGAGACTTACAAATTGTTTCCATGGAAATTGAGAAACATTAAAATGCCACAAATCTGCAAATAGCAAATGGCACCACTTCAGGATTTGTTTGGTATATCTGCCAAATTTTGTTGAAAGATATTGAACGCTTTTAGGGTTGTGCTCCAGAAACAAAATGCTATGGAAGGATGGCCAGATGAGGCATTGACAATATAACCCCCAAAATGAAAACATATGCAAATTCTTGTGCCAAATTATCACATACAGAGGTACAGTGCTGGCTGTCTGGAGAGTGTGTACCATTATGGTAATATCGCAGCATCAACAACATTAAGTTCACAAATCCGACTCCAAAAACTACCCTTAATTATAATATCACAGCAACAACAATGCAGGTAATGACAACAATATCGGTTTCACAAATCCAAGCTCCTCACACTACCCTTAATTATAATATCTCAGCAACAACAGAGGGTCCACAATTACAAGCTCGTCACGCTGTACCCTAAATAATAATATCTCAGCAACAACAGAGGGCCTACAATAACAAGCTCATAACACTGTACTCGCATGCTGACTGATGTATCCATTCATCACAGACTTAGATCTAATAATAGGATATTAGTAGGTATAATAATGATAGGTAGGCCCACCAAAAACCTTTTTCATTTTCATTTTCAGAGATTCATCTTCAAAATTTATTTATTAATTTTGCAATAACAAAGACATGATAACAGCTCAAGCTTACATTATTTATCACCCCTTTTGAAACAAAATGCTTAATCTGATTTGATAATTCTTTTTAAAACTTCCTAAATTAACCAATCATGAGTGTTGAATATAAACTGGTTGACAGCAATTTGAAATTTGAACAAATTTCATGCAAACACTTAATGACAAACTTCAACAACTTCTTTGAGAGGCATTGATAAACTGACTAAACTGACATGCATCTATTTCACACATACATGACTAATGACACCAGAACCCCGTGGAATATGCAGAAACTAAACTCTTACTATGAAATATGCAAATAAGATAAATATGCAAATGAACAAATCTTAAAAAGATGCTGTAATATAAGACTAATGATTTTTCTTATATTATGGATCCCCTGAACAGCTTGTCACTGTTTTAAAGTAACAATTTGAAAAAGCAGACATGTTGTTTCACATTTATAATGCCATCAAAACTGAACTATTGACAGATTTCTTAATGGTAGGAAGCAACTCTTCTTTGACTGTAACATGCAACCATGAAGTGTGAGTGAGTGAGCTGAGTTTTACGCCGCTTTTAGCAATATTCCAGCAATATCACGGCGGGGGACACCAGATATGGGCTTCACACATTGTACCCATGTGGGGAATCGAACCCGGGTCTTCGGCGTGACGAGCGAGCGCTTTAACCTCTAGGCTACCCCACCGCCCCACCATGAAATGTAGTTACTGGAAGATTTCTGCATCACATTCAATCAAATCACACCGTGTTCATTAATGCTGTTCACACATACATGAGCATCACTGAACATGGCACCAAGTCCCAGCAATGCTGTGGGTTTTGTGACTATGTAATAATGGTTTTCTTGTATGGCTTTACCTAATGTCGACTAATAACTAGCATTATCGCCACAACACAGAACAGCTGTCTACTTCAGGAACTGGCATAAATGAAGCTACCAGATACAGGTTAGAATCTGCCATGAAAGAGGCAACAATTTAATGACACCCTAACGCTTTCTGCCAAATATTTTCCTTTTCATTCACCCTCTTCCGTCTTCTATCTTTGGTCCAAAAACTCTGTAGTACAAAATACATATATGTAAAATTATCATTTATAACTGTTTTGATGAAAACTTGGACAGCATGAGAGATTGCTAAATGCAGTCAGTCAACCATGAATAAGTATGTCTCTAAAAAAGGTTTACATTAATTCAAAACAAACTGATAACACATATTCCATAACAGTCAATTTTGGCAGATTAGATATCACAGACTTGTCAACTAATAAAATGAGTTGGTCAGACACCGCTTCCTGGAAGAAGCATAACCATGACGGAGATGTTGTCCTTGGCACCGGCCAACAGCGCTGCCTGTACCAGATACTCTGCCATGTTCTTTGCCAATTCTCGCTGTTTCTCCTCCAAGGTCTCTGGAACATGGTCGGGAATGTCTGCATGAACTGGGAGGGTCAGAAAGTCTGGGTCAAGGCCATGACCTTGATCTAAATCTGAAGCATCTTCAAGATGGCTGCCAATCTCTGTTCTCAGATCTGCTTCAATGGTCAGAGTATTGACCTGTCCAGTCTTAATCTCTTCCACTGGTGTTGAGGTAGCTTGAGCATCACTCATACCATCTTCTGACTGACATATATTTGATATTTCCTTGGAACAAGATTCGACATCAATGTCAGGAAGGTCGCCCTGTTCAAGGTCATTGTTAGAAAATGACACTTTTCGGCTGTCAGCCTTGTTTAAATTGTCTCTGATGACCTCAGCTTGTTTGGCCTTCTCGTTGTTCTCGATCTCGTCAAGGAGGGGCTGGAGACTGGAGGATATACTACTGGGAGGGGGTACATGGTGGGTCGGCAGCATCTGAAACAGCACAGCATCGTCAGTACAGCACAGGTAGCATACTACATTCCTCCATCACCCTGAAATTCACACAGATTTTGGTTGTTTTTTTAATGTCGTGTTTGTTGTTGAACGTTACGCTAATAAATATTGTGGTTGTATTATGGCAGCCTGTAAATAATCAACTCCAGATCAAATGTTTGGTTTGTTTTAGGGGTGGGTATTGCAGAGAATTTTCATATTGCGATATACTGCGATGTGAAAGCATATATTGCGATATGTATTGCAATATATTGCAAGAAGTGTTTTTAACATAAAAAACCTACTTATAATCGAGTTAATGCTTGATTCATAAAGCAAAAACACAACAAAATTACTATGCTTGATTTGGATTTAATAAAAACTTTTAATCATGACAAAATAAAAATGTAAATAAATTGTTTGGCACAAATGAAACAAGGAAAGGAACAATTTAAAAAACGAAGATATCCGTAGATTTCCGAGTGTTATGAAGTTTTCCGAATGCATGTCAAAATACAGGTTTTCGATCGGCGTATCGCAATATGTATCGTTTTCATGTCTGAACCGGTAAATACCGGTAAACCTGGTTATATTGCGCAGCCCTAGTTTGTTTGTTGTTTAACGTCACACTCAGCAATATTCCAGCCATATGACGGCGGTCTGTAAATAATCGAATCTTGACCAGGCAGTCTGGTGATCAACATAATGAGCATCGGTCCAACCAATGGGGATATGGTGGCATGTCTCAGAGAGCATAACCACTCAATGCTGTTAGTCGCCTCTTGCGACAAGCATGGGTTACTGAAGATCAATCTGGATCTTCACGGGTTTAAATTCACACAGACAACCTAGCTGGGGTGTAGTTGCTATTTTTAACCAACGAATCACGAGACAGAATTGTTCCCGCAAGAGGAAATGGTAGTTGACAAAAGGTTCATGTACAACGTAGGGCTCGTTTGACTTCCATAACTTATAAATGGATGCATTATATTTGCTGACAAAAACGTTGACACTCTACAGTACCAAACTACAAGCTTGATGTATTCCTGGGTGTTGAAGACAACATAAACAATCAATCGAATTGTGCCTGACCACATAAAGCCCACATTATTTGACATGTTTCTAAACATCAGCTTACCTGTTACAGAATGTGAGGTGTTATTCATTTTTCTTGAATACTATAGAAACTTTGACTGTCTCTAAGTCTATCAAAACATATTTACTCAGAATTCATTTAAATTATGTTCTTCTTCCAATTTATAAAAATGAATTTAGAATATTAACACTAATGTCAATGTCAAAACCCTTTGATGTTGAATGTCTACTGTCTAAAGAAAGGTTCTTCACAGATTCATTTCATGGATTACAAGTACTTTTCCAGTTGCTTTTACTAATTTAAGTAATTGTTGAATAGTTATAGAATTGCAATCCTGATTTTGCACTTTAATGAAATATTAGATGCTATCAATTCTGCAATAAAACACTGCTCCCTTCTTACTTCTCCTGTGTGGTGGTAAAGATGAAGATGAGGTTTGATAAAGCACTTCCGGAAAACACAGTTTTGTAGTTCTGGCTACCGTTTGACCCCACATTTTGCAATATCTAAAAATAATCGTAGGGACCTCAGAGTTTGAACTTTGTGGGAATAAAACCTGGCCCATTATTGTGAAGAGCAAACACTTGACCACTGTGCTACCCAACCCACTCTCAGTGATGAGACTTGGTAAGCACATGTTCCACAAGGTGAAATCACATCTATCTATGATAGTCCTCAATTCTACAGTGATGGGTTGAAGGCCATAAGTCTCTAGTGTTACTCTTGAGCAGTCAAACAAATCTTCAGTTAAATACAATTCTAGAAATTCGAAGATCAAATGACATGACAGAAATATTTTTTAAAATCAAACATACTCTTACTTGTTAATTTTCTTATGTAAAAAATCACTTCACACTGTGATTATAATGAATAATGCTTTAGAAGCATATATCCAAAGTGTCACAATAAGCGTAAGAAATTATGCTTAGTAATCAAAAGAAACACATCGTAATTTGCAATTTCACGCATTAAAATGTTTCAAAAGCATTCATAAAATGTTAAAATAAGCATATGAAATCACTTACTCAATCCAAGGTCTATTTAGTTTATAATTAGAAGCTGCTATTTCATGCTACAGGCCTTTGTCCCAAGACGGTATCCTTGAAGGACGCTAGGACCAATGTTAATGATCAACACACATCTAATAAAATACTGGTTCCCTCGGTCAAGAATCAACATAAAACTTGAACATAAGCAATTTAAGCATAATAACATTAAAATGAATTAGTGTTATACCCGAACCAAAATATTTCCGTGACCTTAGTTTTAAAAGTGCATGTGAGAATTACATACAAACCAAGAATTGGGCAGAGGTAGCATGTTCCCAATATAAAACAAACTTATAAGAAAAAAAATATAAAACAATCAAAAAATAAAACACATGTCTTCATGAAAAATCAGTATTTAAGCAGACAGGCATAAAACATGCTCAATAAACTTGTTGACACTGCACTCAGACAGGATACTGGTGCTTTAAAGGGAGACTACTCTCACAGCCTTAAAGCTAATCAGGTGTCACAGCATATTTGATTACAGACAACCAAAGTTCACTTAGTGTGTCTCTAAGATATATATCAGTCTATCAGTTGACTAATACCCCAATCAAAGACAAAGGGTCATTTTGACAGAAGTTGCTAATTATAACTAAATGTAAGTAGTCTCTGCTACTTTGTGAGTATTCTCTGTTACTGTATATCTAACCATTCTGTTACTTTACATCTGACATATGTTACAATATATCTGACTATTCTGTTACTATATATCTGACTATTCTGTTAACTCTCATGTCAAGCGAGTGTTCTCGGTTACTTTAAGTATGAGTACTTATATGTATTCTCTGTTACTTTACATGTGAGTGTTCTCTGTTAGTTCAACTGTGAGTGTTCTGTTACTTTACATGTGAGTGTTCTGTTAGGACTCACAACAGACCAATTAGTGCCACCCCGAAACCTCTGCTGTCACAGACCATATCGTGGTCCTGTCCCCACTGCTCGTCAGTGCCAAAACAGACTGCAATGGGCAACTCAGCATCAAAGTTGGAGTTATCGACAATGGAGAACTGTGCTTTTTTCTGATGAAAGCAGATATTGTGTTTCAACAGTCGATGGCAAAGTGAGAGTATGGCAAAGGCGTGGGAAACGGTTTTCCAATGAGCGAATTGTTGAAAGAGAATCGTGGGGTGGTCCAAGCATCGTGGTGTGGGGTGCAATCTGGTCTGAACCAGAGCGTTGGCCCTATGGTGTTCCAAATTCTCGGTCCAGGATGAGGAAATGGTGTGACAGCTGCTCGCTAAATTGACCAAGTCAATAGATCCCACGTTGTACCACATTTTGGACGTCACAGAAACCACATTATCCAGCAAGACAACGCTCGTGCCCACACTGCCAAAGCAACATGGGACATCCTGAGCCAACATGGCATCCAAACCTTACAATGGCCTGCACTCAGTCTGGATTTAAGTCCAACAGAACACCATTGGGACGAGATTCAAAGAAGACTTAATGACCTCCAACCAAGGCCGACAACTGTGGCTGGACTCGATCAGGCATTTCGCAGAGTATGAACCCAAGTGCCTATGGCCTTCATCAACCGGCTAATTCATTCCATGTACAGACGATGCAACCTCCTCATCAATGTCCATGGAGGCCACACACGATACTGACTTTGTGGTGTCCAAATGGTACCATTTTTAGTGATTTTGTTTGTGTGAACTCTAAATTGTTAAGTTTGAACTCAATCCTCTGTTTTGATTGTTAATTAGACCAAATTAAAGTGTGTGCTTGAAAAAACATCTATCGATGTGGCTTTTCTTTTGCAGTTCAGTATATATTGTGAGTTTGCAAAGTAAGTGTATGAGGTCTTCTGTGATGGACATTACTGACTGATGACAGACCAGTCTTGAATATTAATATTTGCTCCAGTATTTTCTTCCTAAGATTAAGACGGTCTCTGTATCTATCTTCTCTCAGTGCTCTATGATGTTACTGATGAGGGTTTAGTACTATGAGAGTGGTGAAGAGAGAAACAGAAGACGTACAGTACTACCTTAAACTAAATCACCCAAACAAAGAGATTTAAAGTTACATTTGAAACTTCAACCGTTTCCATTACCTTCTGTAATTTTCTCAGTCGCTTAATTAAATAAACAATGAATTAAAATTATTAAGCATCAACATCATAATATATGCAATAAATATGAAAGTAATGAGTATGTCTGTGTTTGTGTTTAATGCCACACTCAGCAATATTCCAGCTATGTAATGGTAGCCTGTAAATAAGCAACTTTGGACCAGACAATCCAGTGATCAGTATCATGAGCAACAACCTACGCTATTGGCACATCATGACATACAACCAGCCAGGTCATCAAGTCACATCTTACAACTGCCATAGGTTCCTGGGAACTTAATCTACAGTCCGTTTGAGTCAGAAACGGACCGATGAATTGCAAATTTTATCATTGTACAAAATTGCCACATAAATATAAATAGTACACATGTTTATCATTTACTAATATCCAACAGCTTTCTTATATTTGAAAATTTTCCGGACTCCAACAAAAAAGTTGTTTAAGAAACTATCATCATTGAAAACGCAGAAGTTGTTATCTGTCGCGGCAGGGTGAAACCGCAGAAATGGAACAGCCACTATCTCGTCGTGCACGGGATACACATGCCTGATGAAAAATGAAGTTGAATGCTGACGTGAAACAGTTGATGATTAAAGTGTACGATTTTTTCCGTGCTGAAGACGAAAGGGGCAAACCATTTTATGCCATTAATAAATTCCGTAAGCGGGCAGCAAAAGCTTTAGGAGTATCAGCAAGGGTACTGACAAATGTTCTGGAATATTTATGTGGCAATTTTGTACAATGATAAAATTTGCAATTCATTGGTCCGTTTCTGACTCAAACGGACTGTAACTCACAATCACCAAGAGATAAAAATAAAGAAACACTGATGTATAATAAACTAAGTTATGTCTAAACTGTTCTAGTCATCAATGATAATATCAACAATGAACACTGGTTACAATCACCACAATAATGGGAAATTATTATGAGGTTTTTCATTCACAGCGGTGAAAATAAAATATATCCTAACACCCCTATGTTGTTAGATCCCATGACATGGAAATCAGATCCAGTGGTACAATATATATTATATATTATATATAAAGAGAGTCACACTTGAGTATAATTTGCTGTTTTTGATGCATTGTTGCAGTCATCTTACAGAACTTATTTCCTTGTATTTTCCATTGCCATGGAAACAAACAAAGCTGTAATTACAGAAATCACTCGAAATGTGTTGATCTATTTTCTTCATTCAGAAAATATACTAAAAGGTGAAAACAAACAAACAAACAAACTAACTCTGACAGCATTAAACGGAAATGTATTTTGTGTGTGTTTTGAACATATTGATGTTTTGGACAAATAATTATCTGTTCATGGTTCAATATATGCCCATTTTCTTAATGACCCTCCTAAAGTTGTACAACATTTTTAAATGATCCCTCCTCTAAAGGCTTCCCCAGTGATGACCTTCCAGTTGCAACGTTGCTGACATTTATCATGATGGTGACAACACTGATGAAACATTAACACTGATAAATGTGACAATATTGATGACAATATATAACATCATGATAAATATGACAATGAGAAAGATGATAACAATGACACAGTTCACATTACAAGATTTTAACTAGATACCTACAATTGGATATAGAGAGTTTACAGCTCATTGTTGTATAAACTAAGATTACCTTCAGCAGTAGTGATGTGACTTCTTGATCTGAAAATATTTCCCACACGCCATTAGTGGCAAACACCAGGAATTGGGCATACTGGTCAATGGGTACGCAGGTAGTGTGTGGCTCCACCTGCAGGCATTTCTTCAGACTGAGATCACCATGGTTACCCAGACCACGGGTGGTTGCCACGACGCCATTCACTTGGCATTCACGAGAACTTTCACTGAGGGTACCTCCTAAAACACCAACACAATGTTGAGATTTTTTTGTCTTCTTTTCTGTTTAATCACTTACTAATCCCACAGAAGGATTATTCAAGTAAATATCTCCTGACAAAAGTTTACAAAATTTGTAGCTCTATGTTTCTTATAAAATAATTTTAATGTAAGGGAGAAAGAGACGTCTCCATAGTACCAACACAAAGTGTCATCACAGAAAAGATTATTATGGTGAATATTTTGGAAAATGTAATTCAATAAAAATGAGTGAGTGAGTGAGTTTGATTTGTACTCAACTGGTTTAACATTTCGTCATCTCAGTTTATACAGACTAAAAACATCAAATCAGTCATTAATGCTATATATATTTATCAGTGTACCTACCGTTCTTGAGAACGAGCTTCCGTTCCTTCGGATTGCTAGGTGTATGATCCTTTGTTAACCTATACGAAGTGTTTCCTCGTACCAACAATCCATGGATATTACCTGTGAAGAAATCATGAATGTCAAGTGAGTGAGTGAGTCTAGTTTTACACCGCACTCAGCAATATTCCAGATATATGGCGGTCTATAAATAATCGAGCCTGGACTAGACAATCCAGTGATCAACAGCATGAGCATTGATCTGCATAATTGGGAACCGATGACATGTATCAACCAAGTCAGCGAGCCTGACCACCTGTTCCGTTAGTCGCCTCTTACGACAAGCATGGGTTACTGAAGATCAAATGAATATCAAGAGTGACTATGTTAGTGAGTTTCGGAGAGGAAAGACCACATTGTTGCATATCTCAGACATTTATTACTTTGTTGAAACCCTCGGGTATGGATATCATGCGGGCAAACCTAGAAACATTTTCAAGGAGATACTGAATTTGAATGAAGCCAGATTGATTCCTGGCATCCCCAAGGGATTTAACTCCGCAAAGAGATTACCATCAATATGAATGATGAACCCTTCAGTAGCAAGGATGAAATACAAATACAAGTATAAAGAATATCAGGGGTATCGGTTTTGTTTGTGTGTGTGTGTGTTAAATAAAATCACAATCAATTTCAAAGCTAAAGACAAAAACATGCATATAAAATGTTCTTAATTTATCATTTAAAAGCTTGGGGTCATTGTCATAATCTTAAAGGCACTGTCACACCATACTGCTCTAAAAATAAATAATGCATTTCTCTCAATAATACTAACTATCAGCCCTCAATTCCATATATGGCAAGTATTATATATGCAAGGTACCCATATTTTTCAACTATGCATAAACATATTCCGTCAAACCCTGTTATCATGAACACAGCAGGACACTGCTGTAACGTCATGATGTCCACATATTCCAGACAATGAGCAGTCAGACAGATCAATTAGCAGCATAATGAATGAAAAAGAAAATATGACAGCATGCAGAAAACTAACAATGAACCTTTACGCCCATGTGGGGACTAAGTCAAGGGTTTTGAGATAGCACTATATATTTGCATTTGAAATTAAAGATAAGGGGGCAAATTTATAAGAATTTGTATAAGTGAGGCATCTGTACATATAAGATAACAGGGTTTGAGATAAGAGGAATGTGGTAAGGATTGTTGTGTGTATATGTAATTTGGTACCAACCTGCATTAGCCAGATGAACAAGACCTAGTTGTACTGCAGTGTCACCATTCCCTCCCTCATCCTGAGGAGAGTTCTCTGATCCCTTGGAGCTGTCTCCAGGCTCCGTAGCCTGTACTATGGCAGTAAGAGCTGAACATCCACTCCAGCGAACCTTGGAACACTCATCCTTCCCATAGGACAACAAGATGTCCAGCAGGTGATAAGCCTTCTTGAAGGCACTGGATATTTTGGGCGAGAGGGGATGCTTAGGTTTGGAAGACTTCTTCCTCTTTGTCTCTTCATCACCTTCAGGATGTTGTCCTTTGTCCTTCATCAGAAGGTCATACTTGGCCTCACACAGGGCAATGATCTGTTGAATGATGTCCATACTCTCTTGGTGGAGCAGAACCCGCTCACTGTCCTTTGTGTCCGGGCGGTCAAACTTGTAGTGGGAGATGTCTGTCACATCAGCAAGGTTGTGGGCAGTTGTTGATTTGGTCTTGGGGTCAAATTTGGCCATCTCGTTTAACAGAAGTCTGTGAAGCTCTGATGCTGCCACTTCCGCTGCAAAACGTCCATGGTGGCCGTCAAACAGAGCAAGGTAACATTTGTCATGATCGTCTCCAAAATAATCTTGAAACACTCTGGTATCCTCCATCACACTTTTCCATCTTTCATTCTGGCTTGAACACAAGCCCACTGCCAGTGTACATGATGGGCTACAGTTCAAGGACACTCCGTTTACATTTGTGTTAATGTTTTGACGAATCTGTCGACACATGTCATATGTGTCTTCGATATCAGACTTCAGACGTTCATAGGCGTCGTTGATCACTTTTATGGCTTTTGGGTCAATAGGATTTTCTCGGTGGCCTCATTCTTCAGTCTGCGGAGGATGGCATTTCTCCGCTTGAGGAGTGCTTCGGAGTTGTCTGGCAGGGTGGAACACTTGAATTTCATCACGGTGAGGGCATTGTGGAAGCTGCGGTGGTCAAGGAGGGTCCGGATGTCGATGAAGATGCCACACTTGTCACATCTAACAGTAATATCAGGCTTATTGGTGTACTCTGTCATCAGAGTGTCCGGGGTATCTGAAATCATCATCATCATCATCATCATCATCATCATCATCATCATCATCATCATCATCAAAAGTGATGGAGAGATGTATTTATGTGACAGGATGTTCTGTTTTGTTCATGTGTTGTTTAACCCCAATGGTTTATGATACAAGACAAACCAGTGGTCGATATTGTGAGTAATCATCCTTGCTGCCGGGGTTCAATGCCATGCAATCAACCAAATCCCTGAGTCTGACACCAGATTCACTTAGTCCGTCATCTCTTACTGTGGATGCCGAGGGCCTGTTCTAATCTGGCATCCAAGACAAGCAAGACAGGCAGACACACAGTCATGTGATCGGTGGTTCAACCCTTCGTATCGTCTTGGCAACAAATACAGTATTCAGTCACATATACAAGATCATAAGTACAGTTTGGTGGCATGTATTGTAAAGGTCCATATATACACATATGGTATCTCCATGGTGAATAGGGCAGTGGAGTAGCCTTGTGGTTAATCGCTGAAATATTGCTAAAGTTAAATCTTGCTTAAAATCCAACTCACTCACTCCATTGAGATTGTGGTGAGAAAATAGATCACTAGTGACAATGGAGGTCAAAAGAGGTGACCAAATTGATTAGGTTGTCAGACTCAGTGACTTTGTCATTAGGTGTCATCATACCATGGCCGTGTAGATTGGTTCTCAAAATATCAATCACTGAATAGCCTGATCTGATACCCATTAAGATCCGGGTTCGAATTGGCCCTCAGTAACCCATGCTTTTTGTAAGAAGCAACTAATGGGATCGGGTGGTCAGGCTCGCTGACTTGGTTGCACATGTCATCTTATCCCAATTGCTCATGCTGTTGATCACTGGATTGTCTGGTCCAGACTTGATTATTTACAGACTGCCACAATATATCTGGAAAACTGCTGAGTGCGGCATTAAACAACAAGCCAACTAACCATTTGATCTGGACTCGATTATTTACAGGCTGCCATAATATAACCACAATATTTATTAGTATGACGTTCAGCAAAAACCACGACTGAATTACTCACGGAATTTCTTGTAATAGTAATACATCATCAGAGGTGTGACGTCCGATTTGGACCGGCACTGACTCGGGGTCCGTCTGATGAACGAACGTCGAGGCATTATCACAGATGTTCGACTTACTCCTAGCTTACTTCACAACAAACTAACACTGAGCAATACTGTGAAATAACCATACCGTCAGCTCCTTAATACCGTACTTCCTCAATAACAGTACATCATTAAAACATCACAACTGAAACAGCTCATCATTTAAGAGCCAATACTGAAAACAGAATTTCCCACAAATAATTTTCATATTTATAATCAAGACCTGTTTTAATTTTAGTATGTAAGTCCACTTATGGAAATGTATGCATTGTTAAAGGGTAGTGACTGAACGTAATGTGAAGAGTTTATTACATGTTATACGGTATAATATGATAGCTTAATCTGATTATATGTCATCCACACTGGGTAACAGACAGAGCTGGATTTAGCAGATAACACAAGACACAGGGGGAACCCAACCATGGAACACAGGAACACATGTTACCTGGGTCCTGAACAAATGTGGGAACAATGCTTAATATTATTTTATGTTCATTAGATTCTGTTGTTGCTACTATTCTTGTGAAAAAGCAAAGCATTGTTTAGCATAAGTCTTAGGCTGAAACATATTTGTTGTTAATATTCAGGATATGGATTTTCAAATGGATACAATGAGTTTACTACTGAATTTTGAGATTCTGTTTCTGTTAATATTCTGGATATGATGAATTTTCAAATGAACCATGACATTCTTTCTTTTCGTTAGTATTCATGATACAATGAATTTACAATCTACACTTTATACATTCACTTTATACAAATAAATAAATTTGATTCAGACAAACTCTGAACTCAGTAGTCTTGTGAAATAGCAATACATTGTTGGGCATAAGCCATAGGCCAAACCATATATATTGCTATTTGTACTGTTGTTTCTGGTTTTGGAGGAGTGATTTTTTGAAATCATTTCCATTATATTTAACTTCTTTGATTTTTGCTCTCTTAGTAAAAACTTCAATTTCATCAACAAACACTCAAAATGTATCTGGCATTAAAATGCACTTTTGGGCAGCAATCTGTTCAAGTTCAGCTGTCAAATTTGAAATGTTTGGCATTAAAATGCACTTTTTGATCTGTCCAAGTTCAGCTGTCAAAGTGAAAAAAGCCCTTTATAGTACAAAGAAGCCCATCCCAAACACCCAATCTGTACATACATACACGGTTTTACATGGACTTTGAAAGATGGGAGTAATTTTCATTCAAAGTAAATGTTTTGAGGAGTCAAAATTGTGAGTCATGAAAATATTTGGTTAAAAAAATAATTATTAATTCTAATTAAGCCAAGGGCTTTGAAAGCATAGTATACTGTTTGCCAATTGCAGTTTACAGTCAAAAAACCTTCATTGCTTAACATATTAGTGGAGTTATTTGGAATCAAGGTGCACTTACTTGAAAAAATACTGTGTCAACTATGACAGGATGAAAATGTTTTTTGTTAGTATTTTTAAAAATTGTTGAGTTAAATACTGGGGCATATTGGGGCAAGCAGGTTAGATGGTGTACTCTTGGCTAAATATCTTCGATAGAACAAACGTGGAGGTTGACAATGAAGTGAGCAGGGACTATAGACATAACATACCAGTTTGTCTGATTGAACCATGTCATAATCATAAGTTAACATTTTTCAAAGAGTGAGTGAGTGAGTGAGTTTACTTTTATGCCGCACTCAGCAATATTCAAGCTATATGGTGGTGGTCTGTAAATAATCGAGTCTGGACCAGACAATTCAGTGATCAACAGCATGAGCATCGATGTGCAATTGGGAACCGATGACATGTGTCAACCAACCCGGTGAGCCTGACCATCCGATCCCGTTAGTCTTAGGACAAGCATGGGCTTCTGAAGATCAATTCTAACCCGGATCTTCACGGGTCTTTTTGAAAGAAGAGATGTAATGGTATTAGGTAGCAATACTCTAATTTGACTAGATGTACTGAGAAATATTGCTTTTACTGTATTATTAGTTTGTAAATTGTTTGCTTTTAGGAAAAACAATAAGGAAACTATCAGCTGGAGGTTTTGTTATTATAAACAGGTGCATTTAAAAACAGAGCTAACAAAATCCCCTAGGTGTTACAATGTCTGGTAATACTGTGAGGCAGGGTTCCACTGCAGTACACAGGACATTCACTATGTTCACAGAAATAGAACAACATTGTTGTGTAGTGTTTGTTGTTAACACCGCACTCAGCAATATTCCAGCTATATGGCAGCGGTCTGTAAATAATCGAATCTGGACCACACAATCCAGTGATCAACTGAATGAACTTCTATCTACGCAATTGGGATACGATGACATGTGTCAACCAAGTCAGCGAGTCTGACCACACAATCCTGTTAGTTGTTCTTACAACAGGCATGGGTTGCTGGTGACCAATTCTAATCTGGATCTACACAGGATCTAATCTGGATCTACACGGGATCTAATCTGGATCTACACAGGATCTAATCTGGATCTACACAGGATCTAATCTGGGTCTAATCTGGATCTACACAGGTCAAACATTGTTATGAAGTGAGTGAGTGAGTGAGTTTAGTTTTACGCCACTTTTAGCAATATTCCAGCTATATCAGGCGGGGGACACCAGAAATGGGCTTCACATATTGTACCCATGTGGGGAATCGAACCTGGGTCTTGGCGATGACTAAATCTAACACTTTAACCACTACAAACCCCACCGGCCCTTGTGAAGAGCGGGAATGTCATGCGCACAACCAGTTTCATCAGTGAGCTTGTGTAAATATTTGACAGCTGCAGTGTCCAGCTGCATTAAACATAACTGGCTGTTACAAATCCTGGTTACACCTGACAAAATCTATAAATGAAAAGGTTTTATCAAAATGAAATCTGAAAAAAATGTCATCACAAGCGCATTAAAAGATAAGGAAGGATATATGGATGAACAACAGCTAGACAACAGTGTTAGAAAATACACCAAAACGTTGCTCTCACTGTAATAAAGTAATAAAACTTGTTCCTCCATATATTCTTATCCTTCCTTACTGCTCCAACTTCTAAATGCCTCTCGGGGGCGGTGGGGTAGACTAGTGGTTAAAGCATTTGCTCGTCATGCCGAAGACCCACGTTTGATTCCCCACATGGGTACCATGTGTGAAGCTCATTTCTGGTGTCCCCCGCTGTGATATTGCTGGAATATTGCTAGAAGCAGCATAAAACTAAACTTTCTCACTCACTCTAAATGCCTCTCAAAGGAGCATTAAAAGATCTTGTACATTTAAGTGGGTGCCAAAATGCTTAAATGAACAGAAGATAAATTTTCTTATTGAGAAACAGAAAAATAATCTGAAGTTTCATGACCAACCTGTTCTGAAAACGTTTTGTGCCTTAAACAGCTCAGTAGCATATCTTGATGCTAGAATAGGGTGTAACTGGGACTCATTGTGTGCCTCCTTCTTCGCCGGATCCTTGCCGTCACTCTTCGCTCCCTCCTTCCCTCCCGTGGGGGTGCCAGGGGGGTTGCTTTTCTGTAGGTTCTTCATCAAAATGCTCATGTAGGATCTCTTTTCAGAAGTTGTTGGGCTAGGTCGTCTGGGAAAGCTTTGTTGTGACCTGGTATCAATCTGTAAACACAATCCAAACAATAAACAATTTCTTTGTTAAACAAAGCTAAACAATATAGATATATACTAGGGAAAGAAACCTTTCAAAATTTCCCACTAGACCACAGGACCAGTGAGTGGATAATAATTAGTGGTCCTGTCTGTACTTCGTAGATTTACTTAACTATCAATACAAAATTCACTGGCCACCAGGACCACTGCAAAGTTATCATTTAGTGGTCCTGATGAATTTTTACTAGCCATGGACCACAGGACCAGCGTAAATTTTGCACACTGTATACACAAAACCAAGAATATAATAACAAATTGATGATGGTCTGATGAAGGAAAGTATAAACAAATTGGGTTTGACTGACTGACTGAGTATGGCTTTATGCTGTTTTTAGCAATATTCCAGCAATAACATGGCGGGGACACCAGAAATGGGCTTCACAAATTGTACCCATGTGGGGAATCGAACCCGGACCTTCGTCGTGAGGAGCGAACGCTTTAACCACTAGGCTACCCCACCGCCCCAATTGGGTTTGATGCCGCTTGTAACAGTATTCCAGTTATATCACAGCAGGTCTGTTGAATGTGGGAGGAAAAGCCAGAGTGACACAAGTCTAAGATTTTTACCACTTTGGCAAAACCATGTACCTGGGTATGATGGTGATAAACCAAGAAAGAACAAATTGGTTGGAAGAGGAAAGAAAACAATGAATGAATAAATGATTTTAATATTTTACATTGATATTTTTTACAAATATTTCGAAAGGTTTTCGGATTATTTGAACGTGCATCCAATATATAATTACTAACAACATATTTCGGATCTGCAACTGATAAATCTAAACTATAGCTGACACATATTTAGATTATATAACCTATAAATTAATCTTATTCTCAAGTTAAAGGGGAACACTTAAGAAAAACTAAACGCCGTAATCCCTGTAACAATGAACACCGCCCTTAAGCAGAGCTTGAGATAATCTCGTGTCGCTCAAACCCGAATTGCTAGCGCTGAAACATAATCTTCCCCTCTTGGGTTACACCACACACGAACTTAGGATCGGTCATCTTAAGCATTTACTTCATTCCTGCTAGGGAATCCCTATCCCCCATGTTTGATCTAATTTCTACATGTAATCTATCACGAAATCAACATATCCCATTCATCGGTGTCACCTTCAATATTATCTGAAACGAGGCATTGTTAACCAACCTGCGATATTGACAGCCTTACCGGGCTGTTCGGTCCAACGTACACGTCGACCTGTGACATCGTAACCAGGAGAACTGTCAACAACCTACCGGAAGTCTGGCTGTTCCGTTCTCCTCCCTGGTAATTTTAACACCGCGCGTGCGCTCTTTTCTGGGATTAATTTGCTTATAGTTTCTTGACTGACTACATATTTGAATTCTTTTCACCCTTATGTATTCCCTGAAACAACCAGAAATAAGATTTGTTTGTTTGTTTATTTAAATATTTTGACGGAGGTGGTTTGTATCATGTGAACCTATTCCATATATCAGTATCTGTTAAACTTCAGGTAAATAGGGGTCACCAAAACACTTGCTTGTTTTGGTCTCACGTCTATAAATAAAACCATACAGAACTGAGATTTGGAGTCCATAATCTATGGGCTATGGTCCATACTAAATTTTAATCCTCTTTGGTAAACATTACCGCATCCTGACACGAGGGAAAGGTGAGTGAGTGAGTGAGTTTAGTTTTACGCCGCACTCAGCAATATTCCAGCTATATGGCGGCGGTCTGTAAATAATCGAGTCTGGACCAGACAATCCAGTGGCCAACAGCATGAGCATCGATCTGCTCAATTGGGAACCGATGACATGTGTCAACCAAGTCAGCCGCCTCTTACGACAAGCATGGGTTACTGAAGATCAATATTCTAACCTGGGTAAGAGTTCCTCCCGTTCCCCCATCCCTAATGATATTTATAAATTAATATATACTAAAACTGTTAACAAAACCTAACACAACAATTAATAGTGAACTCACAAAAATAACTAAAAGCCCCAAACTTAATTACAATATATAGGGTCGAACCACGTTGTATGATAAGGGCCCCAGGCACGGTAATGTTACAAATCAATATGGGGGAACGACTGACTGACTGACTGAGTGAGTATGGTTTTACGCCGCTTTTAGCAATATTCCAGCAACATCACGGCGGGGGACACCAGAAATGGGCTTCACACATTGTACCCATGTGGGGATCGAACCCGGGTCTTCGGCGTGACGAGCCAACGCTTTAACCACTAGGCTACCCCACCGCCCCCTATGGGGGAACGAAAGGAACTCGGAAGGAACGGGTCAGTGAGTGAATGAGTATGGTTTTACGCCGCCTTTTGCAATATTCCAGCAATATCAAGGTGGGGGAAGCCATCCAAGGTCTTCGGCGTGAAGGACAAGCTCTTACACCAATAGGCTACCCCACCGCCCCTGAAGTAGTGTTAGATAACTTTCGTCAGGGCTTTAGTGTAGATGCGAAGTACGACTATTATTGTAACAATTTATTTGGTTTGTTGTTTAACGCCGCACTCAAACATTTTTCAGCTATTTGACGGCAGTAAATAATCGTGTCTGGACCAGACAATCCAGTGATTATTTTAAAGTTCATTATTATTGTTCACGTTGGTTAATTGAAGAAAAGTAGTTACTGAATCTAGCTGAGTTAAACACTCTTAAAACACCGGATAACTCGATCCACCACTGTTCTGGTTCCTTAGTTTCAGGGGGCGGTGGGGTAGCCTAGTGGTTAAAGCGTTCGCTCGTCACACCGAAGACCCGGGTTCGATCCCCACATTGGTACAATGTGTGAAGCCCATTTCTGGTGTCCCCCGCCGTGATATTGCTGGAATATTGCTAAAAAAGCGGCGTAAAACCATACTCACTCACTCCTTAGTTTCATGCTTGTCACGATAGTCGTCCATGTTTACAGACCGGGGAACCGTGAAGATCCGGGTAAGAATTGATCTTCAGTAACCCATGCTTGTCGTAAGAGGCGACTAAATCGGGTGAATCGGGTGGTAAGGCTCACTGACTTGGCTGACACATGTCATCGTATCCCAATCGCGTAGATCGATGCTCATGATGTTGATCACTGGATTCATACTCAATTATTTACAGACCGCCGCCATATAGCTGGAATATTGCTGACTGCGGCGTTAAACAACAAACCAACCAACTGTGGGTGTTTCCTTTGTTCTTCAAGTAACGCGCCAACCAATAGATTTGTGTAAGTGTTTGTGGCTCCTGTTAACGTTGACGTGCATCAAGTCCATCCCACAGACGCGCTATCCAACAGCCACAAGGGTTCGAATCACTGTTTGGTCAATAATTTATTAAAATAAAAATCTAGAATTTTGCAACCGTATATTGTTTTTATATGTTATGAGTAACTTATATTTCAAACTTGAACGAAATCGGTGAAGAAAATTGATTTTTTAGAAAATTCTCCCGGTACACTCATTACATATACACCATAATGTAATGAGTGTAGCGGGAGAATTTTCTAAAAAATCCATTTTTATTTTTAAAAATTATTGACCAAACTGATTCGAACCCCTGTGCAACAGCACCATTACCGTACGGTTCAGCTCCATCCTACAGTATAGGTTGTCGTCGATTCACACGTTTCAAAGGAACAAATACAGATCTTCTATATCTAATTCCCATATATAGAGGGGCGGTGGAGTAGCCTAGAGGTAAAAGCGTTCACCTCCGTGATATTGCCGTAATATTGCTAAAAACGGCATAAAACTAAACTCACTCACTCACATCGCTATGAAAATGCAAAAAAAGAAAAAAGAAAAAAAAAGGAAATCTGAACTGTATTTTGGGGCGGTGAGGAAGAATAAAGATTAATGCGTTCTCTTGTCTCGCCAAGAAACAGGGTTCGATTCCCCATTGGGTAAAATGTGTGGAGCTCGTTAATAGTGTACCCCGTCGTGATGTTCGTTGAACATTGTTAAAAAAAACGCCGTAAAACCACACTCATTTGACTGTGACCTGAAACTCCATTTAACATCACCTTGACTTCGTCTTGATTCAGTCTTTGTGTACAGACAGCTTGGTCCCCTTTACCAAATTTCACACTCGGTTACATTTCTTGCTGCTTCAGTACCAGACGATGAAGGAGATGTTATATTCTTGTAAAGAAATGCTCGAACAAATAACAAAATTCATCGTTTAACATTGTTTTATTTTCCCTGAGATAAGCGTAATGTCAATATCACAATCAAATCACAGTCAAACCACATGGAACAGTCCTGCGGCAATATAATAATAATAATGATAATAGTGCATATTTATAACGCGCACATATCCACGCTCAGAAGCATGCTCTTGGCGCTACATAAGTACCTTAAAATAAATACATTATATATACAGAGCAAGAAAACTACAATGAATAGGTGCATAATATATAAACAATAAAGGCTATTGAGGATAATATTTAGCAAAAAGGTAGGTTTTGAGATTTGATTTAAAAGAGTCCAGAGATTCAGAGTGTTTGAGGTCAAATGGGATAGAGTTCCACAAGACAGGGGAAGTGTAGGAGAAAGTTCTGTATCCAAAGGTTTTAAGTTTGTAGTTCGGCACTGTCAGAAGGTTTTGCTACTGTGAGCGAAGTTCGTGCGATGGACTGTAGGGGTTGATCAGATCTGCAATGTAGGGTGGAGCCTGGCCGTGAAGGGACTTGTATGTGAGGCAGAGTGTCTTGAATTGAATCCTGGCTCTCACAGGTAACCAGTGGAGCTGCTTTAGAACTGGGGTAATGTGACTGTGTTTGGAAGTACGGCTGACGATGCGAGCGGCTGTATTTTGGACTTTTTGTAGTCTGTCAAGTAGAGTGTCAGGGAGGCCAATATAGAGACTGTTACAATAATCTAGTCTGCTGAGAATTAGAGCACGGACAAGGGAAATGAGCAGATTCTGTGGTAATTAGAGGACGTATACTGCCAATCACTCTAAGATGAGAATAGCATGTTCTGCACAGGTTATTTATTTGGGCTTCCATGGACAGACTGGGATCTAAGAGTATTCCCAGCGACTGTACCTTTAAACGTGACTAATAAAAACATCGTTTCTCACGTACATACAAAATGATCTGGCAAATCCAAAACAGGTGCTGACAGCGAAAATATATACTTATATATTTATATGTATATCACAACTGCGTAGATGCTCATGATACTGATCACAGGATTGTCTGGTCCAGACACGATTATTTTCAGACCGCTGCCATATAGCTGGATAATTGCTAAGTGAGGCGTTAAAAAACAAACAAACAAACCGATGTTGTAAAGAAACACATTAATGTTCTGACACAGTTTCCTTGCACAACCTGTACGGATTGAACGAGTTTCCTTGCACAACCTGTACGGATTGAACGAGTTTCCTTGCACAACCTGTACGGATTGAACGAGTTTCCTTGCACAACCTGTACGGATTGAACGAGTTTTTGGTAATGGATTGAACGAGTTTCCCTTGCACAACCTGTACGGATTGAACGAGTTTCCTTGCACAACCTGTACGGATTGAACGAGTTTCCTTGCACAACCTGTACGGATTGAACGAGTTTCCTTGCACAACCTGTACGGATTGAACGAGTTTCCTTGCACAACCTGTACGGATTGAACGAGTTTCCTTGCACAACCTGTACGGATTGTTTGCACAACCCTTGAACGAGTTGCACAACCTGTACGGTGAACGAGTTTCCTTGCACAACCTGTACGGATTGAACGAGTTTCCTTGCACAACCTGTACGGATTGAACGAGTTTCCTTGCACAACCTGTACGGATTGAACGAGTTTCCTTGCACAACCTGTACGGATTGAACGAGTTTCCTTGCACAACCTGTACGGATTGAACGAGTTTCCTTGCACAACCTGTACGGATTGAACGAGTTTCCTTGCACAACCTGTACGGATTGAACGAGTTTCCTTGCACAACCTGTACGGATTGAACGAGTTTCCTTGCACAACCTGTACGGATTGAACGAGTTGACACGCCTACCAGTATGAACATTCCTGCTCCTTCAATCCGCATGACGACGAGTTTCAGAATCAATAAATATGTCAAAACAATATGTTAACAATTTCACACTACCAATTACATTTATGCTTCATACACGAAAGCGACCCGTGAAGATCCGGGTTAGAACTGATCTTCAGTAACCCATGCTTGTCGTAAGAGTCGACTAACGGGATCGGGTGGTCAGGCTCGCTGACTTGGTTGACACATGTCATCGTATCCCAAATGCGTAGATCGATGCTCATGCTGTTGATCACTGGATTGTCTGGTCAAGATTCGATTATTTACAGACCGCCGCCATACAGCTTGGATATTGCTGAGTGCGGCGTAATACTAAACTCACTCACTCAAGCACGAAAGGAAGGCTAAATTCGACAACGATCAAGTCAGCTGGTGAACACTGCCATGTATAGATGTCACGTGATCTATGAGGTTATATCGTTTTTTCTTCTCCATACTAACAAAGGTTATTTCCACTCCATTTCACTTCTAATTTGTGTTTGTCGTTCAACGCCACTTTCAGCAATTTTCCAATAATATAACGGCGGCCTGGACCAGACAATCCAATGACTGGCATCATGTATATCGATCTACACATTTTGGACACGATAACAGTGAACCTGACCACCCGATCCCGTTAATCGTCTCTTACGACAGGTATGGGTACAGTTTTACCAGTAACTAAACATGCATCTGAGGTCGTCACTGAAACAGGCCCATTGCTTGGTCCCGTTTTTTCACACACATGTAATGACTTGAGTATACCATACTTGAAGAATGCTTGGCCATGATTCTAGTATATGTGTTAACAGAGTACCGTTTTTATTCTAATACGTGTACGAGCGCTTGTCAATTCTGCAAACTCTCAGACCCGGCGCTTATTGGAGACCCGGCACTTATTTCTTGAAAAGTTGCTTTACCCACGACGCTTATTGAAGGCCGTCACTTATCTGAGGAAATACGGTTTGCGAGTTATCATATGTGCAAAACGTGAACTACATAATGTTACGCCATTTACGACCAAAATCCAGAATGGCCAAGTTGAAGACATCACGTTTCTTGATTGCGTTTTTGGCGTTCCTCTGGTGTTCCCACTTCCTGTCAGCAGAGATGGCTACTCTCTCTGAAAACAGACAAAACATATTTACAAGTTGCAAGCTAGTGTTCTAAATACGCGCACTTCGACCTAGAACGATGACACATTCCAGCTAACGACGACATTACCATAAGCATAACGACAACTGCCGAAGTCTCTGTTACACTATCGAAGAGCTTGGTCTACTTTTACAAAACAGAAGCTACCCCCCTGTTTTACATGGGTACATCAGCCGTCATGCCCCGGAAAAGGATCCGCATAATCTTTGAATTTTCCCGTTGGATTTTTCCTCTCAAACTTCATTGTGATGTCTCCTGATCATTTATAGGTTACATATTTGAGAAGATACTTACCATCCGATTTGCGGCCGACTGATTGTATACTGCAAAAAATGGAGATCGATATGTTCAAAGTGTATTGAGATATATATATTTGAAAATAGAACCTACACTATACACTCTTCCAAAAAAGAAACGCATATGTGATTTGGCGAATATTGGACTCGTGTAGCTGCGGCAAAACCATAAAAATATACTATTTCTTTTCTAAACGCCATCTTTGCGTGATTGTAAACAACTTCAGCGCCAAATTGTAACTTTTTCCCTTGTTGTAGAAGCGTTTGAAGAATTATTCGCCAAACGTATCCAAGAAAACACGCAAAGCAAAATGCGCGTGCAAGTAAGCGCAAATGCATGCGGTATCGATCATTATAAAAAGTCAAACGCTGTGTATAATTTCAGAGCACCTTATCTCGTCTTTGGCATCGTTTCCTGCAGACCAATTCCGCCCATGATCGCCCGAGAAGCGGCCGTTGAAGACTGACTGACTGAGTTTGGTTTTACGCCGCTTTTAGCAATATTCCAGCAACATCACGGCGGGGGACACCAGAAATGGGCTTCACACATTGTACCCATGTGGGGAATCGGACCCGGGTTTTCGGCGTGACGAGCCAACGCTTTAACCACTAGGCTACCCCACCGCCTCTCGGCCGTTGAAGAGTTACCCCCAAGCCCAGGACCCCTACATCCAGGGTGCTCACTTGCGTCATTGTCTTGCCACAGTCGTGGAGAGTTCACAAAGCATCCCTGCTTTGAGAAGAATTTCCGACCAAACTGTCAGAAATCGATTGCGTGAAGTGTGGATTCGACCAAGAAGGCCAGTCGTCGCCCCAGTTCGCGCAATCGCTTGGAGGCGAGTCAGTGATGAATCACGATTTCAGCGTGTTTACCGTCAGAGAAATCAACGTTTTGCCCCTAATTGCATTCGACAGGTCGATAGATTCGGTGGAGAAAGTGTCATGGTGTAGATGCGATATCTAGCACACAAAGATCCGATTTAGTGGTGGTTCAAAGGAATTTGACAGGAAATCGGTACATCAACGAAGTCCTTGCACATCACATGCTTCCGATTATGGACCGACAGAGGGAGCTGTTCGAGCATGACAACGCTACTTCACATACAGCACGCGTCACGGGCCGCTACCTTGTCAATTCAAACGTCAATGTCTTGACATGGCCTTCCCGATCACCAGATCAACGTCAATGTCAAAAAACGCCTCAGCCACTTCCACAACTGGCCATCGCATTGCAGGAAGAATGGGAAGTAATTCAGCAAGCGCGACTTTGTCGACTTATCCACTCTGTGCCGAGGTTGTACCGAGCAGTACTTGCTGCCAATGGTGGCATACAAAGTACTGACCTTGACACCGTCTTGTGGACTCAAGTAAACAGACACATAACAATAAACACTGTTGTTGTGCTGTGCGAACTCTTTGTCTATAGACGTGTGAATTTTCACCGTTTTTACCAATGAAATTACATCAAATAATTGCTTTAAATCTAACGCAATAAATGTTTCTAAAAATGGCTTATGCATTTCTTTTTTTGAAGAGTGTAGTTCTACTGATGACGCTACTCATGTTTACTTTGCTCCAAATCAGCATATATACCCTTATAATATGTTAGATCTGTAGTGAGTGAGTGAGTTTAGTTTTAAGCCGCACTCAGCAATATTCCAGCTATATGGTGGCGGTCTGTAAATACTCGGACCAGGTAATTCAGTGATCAACAGCATGAGTATCGATCTACGCAATTGGGATACGATGACATGTGTCAACCAAGTCAGCGAGCCTGACCACCCGATCCCGTTAGTCGCCTCTTACGACAAGCATGGGTTACTGAAGATCAATTCTAACCCGGATCTTCACGGGTCTGTTAGATCTGTAAGGTTTGACGTAAAACAGCTGTTTTCCTTCAATTGAGTCACACTAGTGTTTCCTTTAGATTCATATTGTCTGTGTATTTTGAAATTTACATTGATGTCTGGATCGATATGATCGAGTCGGGGTACAAAATCTGGAAACTGCTCATCAATCTCGTTCGGTCCCGAAAATGACGCAGAGCGGTAGAGTTTATAACTTGGCGTTGCCCCTGGGCTCATGGTGCTGGCGAAATACGACGTCTGGAAAGGGACATAAATCATATTTTTAAATAAGCGTGTCTCTGTAATATTTAACATTGTAATATGCATGCATTGCCAGAAAAATGGTATTACTTCATCATCATCATCCAGGCAGAGAGGGCAAAACATAAACAAATAGAAAAGAGTGAGCGAGTTTAGTTTTACGTCGCTTTTAGCAATATTTCAGCGATACCACGGCGGAGACACCAGAAATGGCTTCACACATTGTACCCATGTGGGGAATTGAACCAGGATCTGCGGCGTGACGAGAGAATGCTTTAACCCCAAGGCTACCCAACTGCCCCCACTTGACAAGAAAAGGGATGAGCTGTGAGACTGGTCTTAGAACTGTAATATATTGTGACATTATATATATTGATGCTATTCTTTACGTGGGGTGGTGGGGTCGCCTAATGCTTAAAGCGTTCGCTCGTCACGCTGAAGACCCGGGTTCGATTCCCCACATGGATACAATGTGTGAAGCCCCTTTCTGGTGTCTCCTGACATGATATTGCTGGAATATTGCTAAACGTGGCGTTAAACCATACTCACTCACTCACTTTTACGTGACAACACCTTAGTCTAAGTGCCACATGGTTTCGTGGTGACAACATACAGCAAATACGGAGAAAATACATACCTTAGTTTTAAGTAATATGTCATGAAACAAAACAAGTTTCAACATGCTGGCAAATGTCAACAGGATTCCCACCTACCCTGAACGCATTCCTTCCAAATCCTCTGGATGAGAACAGAGAGTCGTAACGCCGGTTCCCCCTGTTTGGCTCCAGCTGGGACTCCCCTGACATGTAGGATCTCACGCTGAAACCGGACACAGTGCTTGATTATAACCGACAATGCGTATGCTTAAATCATATCTAGCTGTTACTTATGATTTACTCGTTTTGTTGTTACTGTTCTGCTTGTGTATGTTGAAATACTCGTATCAATAAAGGGCAAGGAAATATAATGATCCTTTTTTCCACAAAGCATCAACATGATTTACGGAAATAAGAAAACCATTTATAGATCGTCCTTCACAAGTAAGAAATAATCCTTCAGGTATGGGGTAGGACTGAGGTGGCAGGGAGGTTGATGAACGAATTTGAAATTATCTGAAACAAAACCCCACTTCAAGGTTTTAATAAAAAAAAATATGGTTATAACTAGCTGTAGGCTGTAATCTCCCAGTGTTCCAAAGTTGGCCACCAGTACCACCCTGCAGTATATTAATACATCAAAATGCTTGTTAATCCATTTTGGTTTGGAGTTTGCTAATAGCTACCTTTATAAACAGAAGTACAGATTCATCTAAACACAACGTTTATCAATTTTAAGTTTATTTATACATACCTCACCACCATACGACTGACTGACTGAGTTTGGTTTTACGCCGCTTTTAGCAATATTCCAGCAACATCACGGCGGGGACACCAGAAATGGGCTTCACACATTGTACCCATGTGGGGATTCGGGTCTTCGGCGTGACGAGCCAACGTGAACACATTGGCTAAGCCCCACCACCATACGAAGGAGGTGGAGTAGCCTAGTGCGCAGGGGCTTGTAACGCATAACACACACAACACACACACACACACACACAACACACACACACACAGAGAAAAAAGAACCCCAACCCCCGCCCCCAAAAAAAAAACAACAACAAAAAAAAAACAAAACAATGAAATAAAACAAACCCCAAATAACCAAACAAACCCAACAAAAATCAAAGACAAGATCAAAACAAAATATAAACAACAAAGAACACAGGACCTAAACTAAACAAAACAAGCAAGCAAAAAAAAAGAACAACAAAAAAACACAATTAAATCACCACCCACCCACCCACCCCCAAAAAAATTAAAGAGAAAATTAAAGTGATAAACAATAATTAAAAAACAACACAAAATAATAATCAACAACAGAAAAACTAAAAAACAACGACCCAAAAAAAATTCAAAATACAAAATAAAAATATATAGAAATAACAACAAAACAACAACAAACCCCCCCATCAGGTCGATAAATGGCATCAGGAAGTGGGTGACTGACTGACTGAGTTTGATTTTGCCAATTTGTCACACGGCGGGGCCAGAAATGGGCCTTGTACACGGGTTTGTATCAGGACTCCCTGGACTAGTGGGTGAACAAATTTTCCTCTGGAAGATTATCTTTCACACACATACCTGAAATTGTCTTTCGAAGCCTTTCTCCTTTGTCTGTAACACGAGATAGCAAGGCACGTCCCCAGCAGAACCACGACACCGCCCCCGACACCGCCGGATATTGCCAGCACCGTCTCCCATCGGAACTCGGACTCGGAACATCCGTCTCCAGCGTAGTTATACCAATCGTCAGACTCGCACCTTTAAGTAGTTAAAGTGTTTAGAGTTAGCTCCCTTGGAAACTCGAATCACTGATAATCCGTTAAACCGCCATTGATAATTCCCAATAACAATAAATATTTAATTCTGTCCACAATAATTAGCTGCTTGCATACTAAATTTAATTGGTCATAAGTTAGGTGAGAAATCACTGGTGATAGTCAGATTGTTTTCACGTATATTTAATTTCGAACTATCTTGGTGAGAATTACGTTACTTGGGGAACATTGAGATTAGCAATGTGTTAAATTTAGCATTTAGGCTGGTGTGCAGAGTTGCGTCCCTTTAACCTTGTTAGGATCCTATCACTTACTGAAGATTTGGGTCGAAACGTGAAATTTATAAACGCTCTTCACAATTAGTAGGGGAACCTGAACTTTTACTTCGGATAGGAAGTATAAGCGTCAACAAACTTTTCAAAAACAGACATTTTATGAACGCACCACCATTTCTCTTTAATACCACCCCTAAACACCATGCATGGAATGCACGTGCACAACGCAGTAGCCCCATTAACGTGCATGGGGTCTCATTCTTGATTTTGACGGTTTTCAAGAAGGTCGAAAAATCATTGTTGACCGTTAATTTTGACATCTTGCATCACACAGTTGTTAGTGTTTGTGTCCGACGCTTTTTTTGTTTGAAAATGAAAATCGTACACATGCAAATTTCACGTCATACACCAATCATTTTTCAAGAGCGATTACTGTAAAATCAACTATGATCATAAGGAAGTGCAAGTGGTGATGTCCTCTCAAAACATTCATTATTATCATATCAACATTGATTAACTCCGATATATCTCCCAATTTTTCCAATCGTAAATTACAAATGAACTTCCCTACCATTTTTGAAGCGTATTTTATCTACGTCTACGTTTACGGTGTGCTCCCATAAGAACTACAGCTTAAAGCAACACATGTTATGGTCCAGTGCACAGATTGTAGGATTGTAGGTACAAACAAATGGAAGAATGTCCACCTCTGTATTTGTTTCTTTTGTTTTCATGGAACTCCTGGGACTTTTACTGCTTTATGAACAACATTTTCAACTACCTGAGAAGATATGTCTTATATATCTATTACATATTACCTATCGTCACTAACTGCAATGTCATACACATGATGACGACATAGCTTCTACCGCCTATGACTACACTTGGTTTTCATTGTACACATGAAGAGCCGTTGCACGGAGAAATACTTTGTGCAGATATAGCCTGGAGTTTTTATATAGATGTATATATAGTTCATCTATAGATAGGCTTATATATTTAGTGTGATAGTTTAGTGTCACTTTCATCCTCAGCGTTCAGTCTGATCCATGTAGAACTAGTTTAGCCCAGCTTCAAGAAGTAGCCAACTGCATCGAGGTACTGGATTGCAGTCTATTACAAGACTATTTTAACTTAAAAACTCATTCGTTTGTATTTCATCTTTACTCTAATATGTCTTTACTCTAACATACTAAGCTTGGCTTGTTTTTTTCTTCTGTCACATGAATACAAGAACATTCACTTACTACAGCATACCCTTCTCTCTTGTAGTCTACTTTCTGGTTATTAGATTACCTTTACAACAACATAATTACTGGTCTGTAGTTCTTCTGGGAGAGCTGATGGGCTGTGCTCATTACATGCCATGGGGGTGCCTCTACTCAGATAATTAATCCCTAATTAATCCCTGTAGTTAATTTGGGATGTAGTTCAAATGGGATGTAGTTCTTATGGGGTAAACCCGACCGTGAACTAGGGATTTCGGAGATTAACATATATTAGTCGGTCAGTCATCAGTAATAGTTCATTGAAAGGTCATCGAACAAAGAATTACATAAAATTACACTGAAGCAGAAACGTCTGTGACTTGATTTGCAATAAAGACAAATTCCTTTATCCGATTTCATATTTGTCGAACATATAACTGTCGATTTAAACTCAATATCAATCAGAAATATGAAAGTGAAAACAAAATTTCCCAATTATCTATTTCATTTGAACTAAATCTTGTTGACTAAGTGAAACAACGAACTTGCAAACCGGCTCGGCTTTGGCTGTTCCCCTGAGTTGGCAGCTCCCCCTCTGGCCACAGTTCACATCGTCACACAGGTGTACACAGGTGTTGTCTTCACATCGACTCCCCCACGCACACAAATCCCCCTCAGCTTTACACATATCCGCAGCATCGTCTACAACTGTAAGTCAACACAACATTCATATACAATAAACAACAGTTAAACGATGTCAGAGGGGCCTTAATGTTAGTTTGGTATAACGGTAGTTCGATGTGAGTATTTTGAATATAAGATATACTATCCGGGACCTAAAAGTGAATTCGTTATATCCGCCAGTTCGTTATATGCGTTTTCGTTACAAACGTAGTTTATTGTACTAGACACAGAATAATCATAGAAAACTGGCTTTTAAATACACAAAGAAATGTCTTCATTCATGGGCAGCGTTGTGAATTTGTCTTTGTTGGTACTCCATGCATAAGTTCACTGGTGACGTGAAAAATATATATATATATGTTGCTTTCTTTCTGATCTTTTGCTCACAGTTTGGTCCCTCTGATACTAGTATTTATCGATAATCGATCGATACTTAGTTAATCAGTATCGATCTCTATGTTTTATATCGATAACCCGCGCTAAAATGTATTTCATTATCATACAATATGCCCCAGTCCTATATTACATGTTTCATTTATTATGATCTAATTTAAAATTTGATTAAATAAATCAATTAATGAAAACAAATATGCATCTATTTATGAAATGTACAAATGATGTGCCACATACGCCCTTCAGCTTTTGCATTCCACGTTTCACTGTCATTTTTCACGTTGTAATCGTTGGATTTAGCAACGTCATCGCACGCCGTCTGTAGGCCCTGTTCCAACATTTGTTTTTGTGCTACATCATTTACAGCATCGTGGGCCTTTACGGCATCGATTTCGCAGGCCGTAGACACAATGACACTCCCACTTCTGGAACAAAATATCAGTCAGAATTGTAAACAAACTCAAAACTATAGCGAGTGTGTGAGTTTAGTTTTCCGCAGCACTCTCAAAACTATAACACCAACGGTATCTTAATTCGCATATTGTCACTATGGAATCTATAGTATGATTTATATAATATACAATATTAAATATGTATATGAATGCCATTTAAGGTTATATACTTATCTACAAAAAAGAATAAAGTTCAAATTGAATCCAGAACAATCTTAATTTCAGAGCTCAGGCAATCGCAGGTTAAATCATTCTACGCTTGATTTGGGCGCTTTTTCAACCTATTCTCTAGGTTCTAGGAGACAGACTTACTGTATTAAAGCGGTATATAATATTATATGAATAGAAAATAATCGAATTCATTCATCAAGTTTCATACGCTATTGACACCATGGACATGCAAGCAAAGCAAAGTATCCCTCTATTCATCACCATGGACATTCAGTAAACTTATTTTTATAAACTTGCCCATCGAGGACATGGTCATAAAAGCATTCGGTTATTGGCATTACTTATAGCAGGGTAAAAAAGAATGGCGTGGTCCTCGGCAACCCATGGTTGTCGTGGGACCACTAACGGGATCGGGGAGTCAGGCTTGCTGACTAGGTTGTTTCTAGTCTGTCTCACCCTTGAACCACATTATTTTCTCTACTGCCTTGCCCTCACTGCAATGCTAATCCCTAAATGAAGCAAGTAGAGATTTCCTCAGCTCTTGAATCTCTCAACTCACTGGGGCTACTTTTCAATTTAAATGGGTTTGTTTGTTACAATCAAAATTATATATATTGAGAGACTAAGCGTTAGTCGCATGTCAATTGGAACGGCGGTCATTTTATATGCTTGCATAGACTTTTTTGGATATATTTGTTTCGGAGTCTGTTTGACAGACAAAGTTCCTATTGTAGCTGAAACAAAACTATCTAATTATTAATTATTTGCTTACCTGATATCAATGATGTTTATACCATGGAATCCCAGCACTCCGCTGAATGAGTTATTCAACTGTCGAGTGAGGAAACAAGTAAGGAAATAAGTGAGCGAGTGAGAAAACAAGTGAGTGAGTGAGGAAACAAGTGAGTGAGTGAGGAAGCAAGTGAGTGAGGAACTAAGTGAGCGAGTGAGGAAACAAGACTTAGTGAGTGAGTGCGTGAGTGAGGCATCGCTGAAAGTATTTTCGGTATATCATAGTGCGGTAGCTTGTTTCGAGGGGTAAACCCCCAGCAACACGGGTAGACATTTACCACTCACCCAGTAAAACCAGAATAATATAGGATTCGAACCAACATACATTGATTTGCTGCGATATTGCCCACTCGGTCTTCCTCGAATAATTTTAAAATAAGAATCACAAAAACAATTATCATAGAATAGGGAGAAAACAAACTGTTTTCGGTATGGTTACATTGAACCGGGGTACTCTACACTGAAGTTCAATTTTTAAAGTGTTGTCCACGAAACTTGAAACAAATCGGGCTATGTTTTACAAAGGCAAAATTATTTGAGTCTTTCAATTGTATTTAGATGATATGACACATAAGGGAGAGAAATCGATAGATGCCCGTCTTTTTTTATAAGGAACAGAGTCGGAGTATATAATTATTCCTTCATTAGGTGAATGAAAGCTAGGAATAAGTTTATATTTGTACATGAAGCGAAACAAACGTATCAAGATGGTGAAAACTTTACAATTGATTGATTGGTTGTTGTTTAACGTCGCCATTCTTTAACGCCGCACTCAGCAATATTCCAGCTATGTGGCGGCGGTCTGTAAATAATCGAGTTCGGACCAGACAATCGAGTGATCAACATCATGAACATCGATCTACGCAATTGTGAACCGATGACATGTGTCAACCAAGTCAGCGAGCCTGACCACCCGTTACTCGCCTTTTATGACCAGCATGGGTTACTGAAGACCAATTCTAACCCGGATCTTCAAGGGTCAGTACTGATATATAATAGCAATTTCATCCCCATGGTTCGCCAAAAGAAGTAGTTGGCGTCTATCCCGTCATGCTAACAAAGACCTTGTCATCCATAACATTTTCTCCCGTATTATTATTGAATATGGCGCATTTAACCCCTGACCCAGAGACAACTTACTAACAACAAGTTTTATTGTTGTTTCGTAAAGTGCGACTGGCGATGATGAATTATTTGTAGTACCTACCAGGATCGTGAAATTTTCTCTGTCATTTTTTTCGAAGTCTGCCACTGACATGTCTTGAATTGTAAAATCGACTTCGAAAACGAACACCGCACCGTCTGTAATTTAAATACATTATAATTAACAAGAGATACGTTTCGTTTTGATTTATACCTTATTTTACTGACATTAGATATCAAACTGGTTGAGTTTAAAGGCTGTGCAACTTAAAACGACCTTTTGTTAAATATATATTCAACGGAAAAGCGAAACTATTTATTAAACATTACAAATTAAATCTGCGTAGATATACTTACATCTACTCAGATGATACTTACATCGGGGTGGACGATACAACAAAGTAGACGATATTTACAACTACTCAGATAATACCTACATCTACGTAGAAGATACTTACATCTACTCAGAAGATACTTACATCTACGGAGATAATACTTACATCTACGTAGAAGATACTTACATCTACGGAGATAATACTTACATCTACGTAGAAGATACTTACATCTACGGAGATAATACTTACATCTACGGAGATAATACTTACATCTACGTAGAAGATACTTACATCTACGGAGATAATACTTACATCTACGGAGATAATACTTACATCTACGGAGATAATACTTACATCTACGTAGAAGATACTTACATCTACGGAGATAATACTTACATCTACTCAGAAGATACTTACATCTACTCAGAAGATACTTACATCTACATACATAACACTTACGCCGACGTAGATAATACCCACATTTACGCAGAAGAAACTTAGATCTACATAAATGATGCTTACATCTACGTAGATAATACTAACATCTACTTAGGCGTAACTTGCATCTAAGTGGAAGATACCTACATCTAAGTAGATAATACTAACATCTACGTAGACGTAACTTGCATCTAAGTGGAAGATACCTACATCTAAGTAGATAATACTAACATCTACTTAGACGTAACTTGCATCTAAGTGGAAGATACCTACATCTAAGTAGATAATACTAACATCTACTTAGACGTAACTTGCATCTAAGTGGAAGATACCTACATCTAAGTAGATAATACTTACATCGACGGAGAAGTAACTTACACCGACGTTGATAATACGCACATTCATGCTTACATATATTAGTTGATGAAAAGAGCTTTGCAATGATGCATACATTGATGTATTGTAACCAGTGTGACAAAAGTTATTACCAATATAAAAATTTAAAGAGCTGACCCGAAAACTTCAAAATATGATACAAAACCCATTAAAATTCATACAATACTTGAATTTGAAGATATTTTCACTTTGGAAATTGTCAATTCAGTGTTCGGTTTTAAGAGGTATCATATCGTAAGTGACTTTAAAATGGAAGTATGTAGAAATAATATTCATGTTTTAATCCTAAGATGTTTTACCTATAAAAAGTATCCAGTCAGTAGTGAATCAGAGTACACCAGAAATAACAATAGTATACACAGAATGTATATATTGTACTTGCACATGACTGTCAGTGATAGATATAGTAACTCATTTTACCTAGTTACTGTCAGTATTTGTGCATCCCTCCTTCGCATTGGCAGAGGACCGTACATCGTACACCAGCACTGTTGTTGCATTTACACCTTCCCACACAGCCCTTTGCAACCGCAGTGTAGGAGGATAGAACATGCTGCTGGAAGCATCACTGAGGGTGGTCCATAGAGGTTGCCAGTTATGGCTGTCGTCTTTCTGCTAACCCAAATCACTGGAAGTCAGGGATTTCCTGGTAAGCAATGGTTGCCTGCTCCCCAAAAGAAACTCGTCTGCAGAATAGATCGTGTCACATGTTGAAACAACGCAGCGTGAGTAGGCAGGAGTTTTGCCAATGACCTGCTTCCAGTAGTGAAAAGGCGATGCCGTGCTTCATTTACGCGCCCTACTCCACAACTTCTCTGCTGCACATCAGTACAACAAATCTTTCAATCTGTTGAATGTGTCTCGACTCAGTCACGAAGTGTTCAGGATCCTGTGTGAGAGCCACTAGTGTGTCTGTCAGGTCAGGTAGACTTGTCCAGGTTGTCCATGCAGTCTTCTTTCCACATCCAAGAATATGTGAAGTTATGTCACAGACAGTAAGACTGTGGAAGAGGGGTAATGCCAAGGACTTTGATAGACCAAGATGAGAGTACATATCATGGATTGGGATGTATTTGCACTTTTACCAGTTCCAAATCCGATCCAGAGCTCTGTTAGGCCTAAGGTCTCAAAGACCCTTATTGCCAAAATCACAACATCGCTGTCAACAGTGCGAACATAGGCTGATGTGTGGCCATGCTCTGCAGCATATCGGAGATGTAGGATGATTCTTGTGTCAGCCCTCGGTATGGTTGCATGGCTGTAGTGTACCCAGGTCACACTGTCGGTTTGAAAGCACATTTTTCACAGTGGGTACTCAGGAGGAGCTTTCCATCCATATCCGTTTTGGAGATCTGACTGCTGATGAATGAAAGGAATTCCCTTTTGTTCTCCCTCATTCTTGAGGAAACCACTGTTCCATTCATGTTTTGGTATCAGGGTGCTGCCATCACCAACTCTTGTTCTTGAACCAATCCCAGGCCTTTAAAATTATTACTCTCTGGGTAGTTATCCCATACCGCATCAATCCGTTGGGCTCCATTCTTCATCTGGGCCTCAAGATATGGAATGACTTGAAGGGACACATAGTCAGAGAATGGTTTTGCTACTGTTGAGCGCAGCATGTGTATGCTGCCATATCCAAAACCACGTCTGTTGCTAGTTTTGGAGCAGTTGTACGGCCAGCTGGTGCCTTGATACAGTCCAGTATGTCTGACTTTGCTCCAAATCTCAATGACCCTCTCTCAACTAGGCTTGGTGGTTCCTTTTGATTTTCATACATGAAAAAGTCGGCCAAGTCTGCATCTGGGCGGGACTGCAAAGAAAGGAAGAGCTGTGTCACCAATATCATGTTTTGTTTCTGAATACCAACATCCTTAGGTTCTTTTCTCCTTGGGTCAGGTCGATTTGCAAAGGACAGCATGTTATTTTTTTGATTGGATCTGTTACAGGCACAGATATCTTCACCAGTCTCTCTTGGACATAATCTGCATGCAGGGCTTTGCCAGCTTCAGAGATTTGTAACAGACTGTTCACGACGGACGGCTCCATGACAGTTTGGGTATCCAGAGCAACAAGTGTACATGTCTTTTTGAAATTTGACTTGTAAATGATGTCCTTCCTCATGATGAGCTGTTGCCTGGGGTGAAAGGTCATGTGTTGATTCAAACTCCTTTACCATCTGCACACAGTCTGATCCTGCAAGCATATAAAGGGTAAGTGCTTCAGGATTCTCATTATAAAGACCCTGGAGGGACTGTTCATGGGCTTGGTCCTTGGCCGTAAGACTGAACTTCTTGGATGATTTCTGAACGACATTGCCCTTCATAAATTCATCATGTATCTCAGGGTGATTCTTGCTAAGTTCAACCATGTCACGTACATATACTGGAAGCCAACGTGCATAGTTTGTGTGGTCCAATGCATGAAACCAACCACAAAGTTCGCCACATGATTGTACATAAAGTAGGGAAGTCTCCTTCCCCAAGGACCTCACAAAACGAGCCATGAGCAGTTCTAGTTCAGTGATAGTAGACCAGTATTTGAACTGTGGAAAAACTTTGAGAACGTTGATCCCACATGTTGAAGGATTCCGGTGGACCCATGACACCCTTGCAATATTCAGAGTATGCATTCTGCTTGAGGATATTCAGCGATATGAGGGAAACCTGGTGGGCATATCTTGTGCGCTTGATGTGATGCTCATGGAGGGTTGACTTAGCTCGAACAGATGTGGAGGATCTCTGCTTGAGTTAGTACTGTTGCCCACCCTGAATCACGTAGCAGCTTCCCTATCATTAGATGCATCTTGTCTTCGATGTGCAATGCACCCATCATAGAAACAAGCTTGTCTCTCCGTGAGCATCTGGGAACTGCCATTGGAGGAGTTTTATAATGGCATATAGTGGCTGATCTGCTCCAAGTACTGTGGTCTGGTCCGGGTTTAAGAACCCGCACAGACAAATCCATAGCATGTTTCATAGAAGATGCAGATGCTGCTTTATCCGAGAAGAAAGAATATATACCAATCTCTGCTGGAGGTTTCACAGATCTGTCACTTGCAAGAGACGAGTTGTACCTTACCCAGGTGATGATGTCACCCTCTTCTACTGGACCCTTGTTCAATACCACTGAGACGAGTGTAAGCCATGCCTGATCCTTATCCATTGAATCTTCTACAAGGTGACTTGGTCGGACTTGGTTTGTAGTAGACTTTGGAGCATAGACATCTGTCTCAGAGAGTTCTACTGGTTGTTGAATCGTATAAAAGTCCGGTAACTTTGGAAGGGTTGTGTCTATTGGATCCTGTTTTATCGGAGCATGCTTTACATAAATCGATAAGAAACTATAAAAAACATGTTCTTAGAAAAAGAAAGAGGATATATTTTGTATTTCTTCGTTTGTTTATTGACATTTTGATGTTTTTGGTCCACCCTCTAGATCTTAATTTTCATCTAACTTCTTTAATATCATTCACACAAAGTTTATTTATATATCCCTGTAAAGCTCTTTTTATTGTCTTTCATTTGATATACAACATGATTATGTACAATTTATGACAATTTTATGACTAAAATTTGTATTAAATCGGGGTGGCGGCCATTTTGTTTTTTTGTCCAATATGGTTGCCACAGGGGCCGCCATCTTGGCGCCCGTCAGAAATAAGCTTAGTATGTCTTAAGCTACCTCTGTGCCAAATTTGGTGCTTTTGGAAGAATCTGAACCAAAATATCCCTATGCCCCCTGACATATATGTAAGATACATACATCTACATATTTTCTTACTGAACTTACTGAACTCATTTCAAATAGTCAAAATATCAGTGTTAAAATGAAAATAAGAAACCTCAACTACACTCATTAAACAAAACCTGGATAGTTACTTTACTGACATCGTTTAGATATCACCCCAATAAACTGACACCGTTTAGATATCACCCCAATAAACTGACACCGTTTAGATATCACCCCAGTAAAGACAAAGATCAAGGGAAATCGACTCCCGACTTTATTTTTCACGAGCAAACGATTTTATAAACCCACAATATATATATACACACACACATATATATACATGTATATATATATATATATATATACATACATATATATATATGTATATATATATATATATATATATACATGTACATGTATATATATATATATATATATATATATATATATATATATATATATATATATATATATACATGTATATAACATTGTTTGAAACTCCTGAAAAACCAGGAAGCCCACAGGGTTGATAACTGAAACATGTTGCAGGCCCTGTTAACATGTAACCAGCCCTGTATTAAAAATAGGAAACTGAGATAAGGTGTTAAAATAATGCAAATAATTATTAATGAATTACTTGTAGTGAAGTAAACTTTAACATGTGCAAAAGCAAATTTAACGGCGGACAATGTTGCTCACGGAAGAATTACAACATTGTTCATTGGCTGAAAGCATTCTTTAGACCAATCACATTTAGTGTTAGATAAATGGGTAGACTGATCTGTGGAAGTTGTGGGTTGATTGATTGATACAGACGTCGTCTAGCTACCACAATTGTAAATTATTTTCGAAATATTTCCCATAGTCAATGACATGGTCAAATATATACCCTTGCAAAATGTATTGGCCCACAGGGCTGGCTATAAAATAAAGCTGTAACCCCGCCATGTAACTAGAAAGCAGCGGGCCGCCGGGCAGACGCTATTTCATACACTGATATAACCTCTCTCAGCTGGATTTCTTGTGGACTGAATTCAAGTCCTGGTTAACGGGAGTCCGCATTAAAGAGGTTATTACAGAAAATAGGAAACATAAAATATTGGGAAAGATGAAAATATATCCTTAACGAAATTTTTAATAAAATGTAGTATTGACAAAAATCCGGATTAATCAGAGTCCGGTTTCGATAGATTTCAGTGCGACAGGTTGGGACAATAAAGGTGAGTAATAAATCAATAAAACTGGGCGCTTTTAGATTTGTCCTCATCTTAATCACGACAGGGCTATAACAAACACACCCAGAGACGTGACGAGTTTCATGTGTGAGTGAAATGTGTGGTTAGTGTGAAATATTTCTGTGTTTGTGAAACATTAAACTGTCTCTTACCTATACGAGGCACCTCTGTAGGATAAGTATCTGTGAATAATATAGTTTTGTTTTGACAACAGACACACATAACACTATATTAGCGTCACTAAAATCAATAATACTGCATTTTGCATCTGGTCTTTTATGCAACATCGATAAAAGCATACATTTCTGAAAAGCAGTCTCAGCAAAGAAATGTGAAGGAAATGAAAAAATTCAGCATTCTAACACGAAATTTACAGTAAGTTTTTTTAAAACGTTCTTACATGTATTCCTTTCGATATTTTAATACAAAACCAGACCGTGTTAACGTTTGAGAAGAGCCCGGGCCTTCGGCGTGACCCCACCGCCCATCGATTCCTGTTAGAAGCAATGCTTGTCGTAAGATGCATGTCATCGTATTTGAATCACTTGCCCATGATGGGAATCACAAGATTGTCTGGTCCGGAATCGGTTATTTACAGTATGACGTCGTATAGCTGGAGTATTGCTAAATCCGACGTTAAACAAACAAACAAAACTTTCAAGATATTTATATGATATCATCAGCTTGAACGTTCATCAAAGTTAGCTCATGACGTCACATTTCCCCTAACCTAATACAATGATGAGGATCAGGAATCCATACTTACCCCCCGACGCCTCGACTTCCGTGTCCCTCCTCTCCCGGGAGGGGTGGGTCAGTGACAGCGTACAGAAACTCCTTTGCCAGGTCCAGTTCATCATCCTCTGTTTCAGCTGTCAAAGATGAACATTCCTTGGGTCAGGAAGACGTCGCAGTACACATTGCAACCAACTCACTCACCCACTCACTCTAAGAGAAACGCATAGGTGATTTTGTGAATATTGGGCTGCGGCAAAAACAATACAAATATTCTATTTCTTTCCAAAACGTCATCTTTATGTCACGAGGGGCAGTGGGGTAGCCTAGTGGTTAAAGCGTTGGCTCGTCACGCTGAAGACCCGGGTTCGAATCCCCACATGGGTACAATGTGTGAAGCCCATTTCTGGTGTCCCCCGCCGTGATGTTGCTGAAATATTGCTAAAAGCGGCGTAAAACCAAACTCAGTCAGTCAGTCAGTCTTTATGTCACTGTAACGCGGCAATTCTAATTTTCCCCTTTTTGAGATAGTAGATTTTCAATTACTATTGATACAGAGGCGTTGGGGTAGCCTAGTGGTTACACCGTTCTCCGAAGACTCAGGTTCGATTCCCCATATGGGTACAATGTTTGAAGCCAATTTCTGGTGTTCCCAGACGTGATATTACTGGAATATTGCCAAATGCGGCGTAAAATTAAACTCACTCACTGCTGATCCAACTGATTGAAAAGGAGTTACAAAAATTACACATTACGGGAATCAAACCCGGCTTTATGGCGTGACGAGCAAACGCTGTACTTTTAGGTAAGTGTATTCAGAATAAGTTTTAAAATATGTTTATTTTGTTTTTTTCAAAGCCTTTAAGATCAGAGTCGTGTTATTTTTACGATTTCAACAATATGGAATTGACCTTTATCAACCCATGTTTTTCGTCAAATGCGACTTAGCGTATCGAGCGGAAAGGCTCACTGATTTGATGAATGTCATTCTGTACCAACTGTGTAGGCCGATGGATTGTCTGTTCCAGGTCCATTTATCTAAAGGCCGTTCTCATAAAGCTAAAATATGGCTGAGTATGATGTTAAAACAAACAGACAAACTGAAGCAAAAATACCAAAATACACATTTGAGAAATCAAAACCTGGTTTATGGTGTGACGTGAGAAATGCTATTGTTTAATTTTAGAACCAATTGTAAATAAAAAAGATATTAAAATCTGTGCCAGATACTGCCACAAGGTTGAAGACAGACATTACACAGCGACAAGCAGGTGCGTAACAAGCCAATAGCCAATTGTAAGGGACCGTTCATAATTTATGATGTGTTTTTGAGAAGCATGTACAATGTGAATGACACCCCCTAAAATTTATGTACAAAGTAAGTGAACCCACCTGCATGTCATGTACAAAATTGATGACCCCCTACCTCTCGAGAACAAAATGGGTGAGCCCCTCAAAATCATCATCACACACACACACACACACGCACGCACGCACAGACGCACGCACGCACGCACGCACGCACACACACACACACACACACACACCTACCTAGCCATAAGTTATGAACGGTCTCTAAGCCCCATAGGTTGGACCTAAAAGCCTGCAAAATGACTACAGAATGGAGTAACGCATGTTTACTGAACATGGTGACTGTATTGGTAATGCTAGTTCTCAAAGAATATTGTAGTCAATATGATTCATAGAGGGATTACCATTTTTTAAATTGTTCTGATAACTTGCTTGTAGGTATTTTTGGCAAGAAATAGAAAAAAATGTTTTCCAAAAGTCATGTGTAAGCCCGGGCGTTTTTATAATGGTAGCTACGCCCCAGACAAGACAAGCTAGCCTTATACCCCATTACCGCGTCGATACCCGCTGACATTTCGGAAACTTCATATAAACGCTGACACAGCTGTTCCCCATAAAATGACCCTATCAGCTGCTGCAATCGCAGGGAGAGTTGCTGGGTTTTACAGTTACCGTTTTCGTTGACTATGTCCTGAGACTCCTCGAATCTGACCATCCCCTGTGGTGCTACGAGAGAGATGCAGATGAGAACAGTGGCAAATGCGATCATTGTCTGCCTCTGAAACAGACGTGGAACCTGTCTGAGAATTGAACAGATATCAACGACCATTCGCACCATCGCTACACTACAAATAAACTTTCAAAACTAATGGGAACAATGTGTGAAGCCCATTTCTGGTGTCCTCCGTCGTGATATTACTGGAATGTTGCTTAAAGCGGCGAAAACCATACTCACTCACGCTAAAAATAAAGAGAAGCGCATAGGTGATTTTGAGAATATTGGGATGTGGCAAAACAATACAATAGACTATTTCTTTCCAAACGTCATCTTTGTGTCACTAACGCGGCAATTCTAACTTTTCGCTTGTTTTAGAAGCGTTTGAAGAAATATTCGCCAAAACGTCACCAAGGAAACATGTAAAGCAAAATGCACGTGCAAAACATCTGGCAAACGTTGTGTTTAATTTTGTCATTCGTCTTTTGCCTGCAAAAGAGGAAATCGTCATGCCACGACTGAGTGCCGCTAATCGAAACATCGTCATAGGCCGCCTTGAAGCTGGGGAGTCGCAGTCTGCAGTTGCCCGACATTTCAACGTTCATAAAAGCACCATATCTCGCCTTTGGCAGCGTTTCCTGCAGACCAATTCCGCCCAAGATCGTCCGAGAAGCGGCCGTCCAAGAGTTACCACCCAAGCCCATGACCGCTACATCCGGGGTGCTCACTTGCGTCATCGTCTTGCAAACAGCCGTGGACTGCACAACGCATCCCTGGTTTGAGAAGAATTTCCGACCAAACTGTCAGGAATCGATTGCCTGAAGTGGGGATTCGACCAAAAAGGCCAGTATTCACCCCTGTTTTGAGAAACTTCCATCGTTGCAATCGCTTGCGGTGGTGTCGTAAACCGTAATTGCATTCGACAGGTCACAGAAGATTCGGTGGCGACAGTGTGATGGTGTGGTGTTCGATATCCAGTACACAAAGATCTGATTTAGTGGTAGCTCAAAGGAATTTGACAGCAGATCGGTACATCAACGAAGTCCTTGCACGTCACATGCTTCCGATTATGGACCGACAGAGGGAGCTGTTCCAGCACATACAGCACGCGCTACGGGCCGCTACCTTGCCAATTCTAACGTCAATGTCTTGAAATGGCTTCCCGATCACCACATCTAAATCCGATAGAACACCTATGGGATGAACTCGACCGACGTGTACGTCAACGTAAAAACACGCCTCGGACACTTCCACAACTGGCCATCGCATTGCAGGAAGAGAGGGGAAGAATTCCGCAAGTGCGACTTCGTCGACGTGCCCAGTCTGTCCGAGCCGGTTCCAAGCAGTAATTGCTGCTAATGGTGGCCATACAAAGTACTGACTATGAAATAAATATTGTTCAGGAAGTAGGAACAACTACGTTAATCGTGTAAGCCTTTGGGGTGAGGTGATAGAGAATGTTTTTGTAACAACAAAATATACTGAATATTAGTTCGACTAAATTTGTTTTTGTGTTTTTAATTCAATTGCTCTCGGCAATGTTTAAGCTATATGACGTAGAGGGTACTACTTTAATTACATTCAATGTACTGGGAATATTCTGTTATCAAAATTAAATGTCAAAATGACAAAATGAAGTCTTTAATTTGAAACTGGTACACATCGCTCCATTCCTGTAAAGGTAATGGAGCGAGCAGACAATGGAATGACGTCACAAATGTAATTTTAACGCGGTCTGTAAATACCTGAGTCTGGACTGACATCGTGAGCTTCGATCTAAGCACTTGAGATACGATGACATGTATCACACAGTTGTTATAAAGAAATGTGTATATTAAGCAACTCCTTTACACTTTGTACCTGAAATGGACCTGTGTATATGTGCAGACTTCGCCTCGTCGCTGAAATATTGGTGATGCGACGTAAAACGGTTTACTCACTAATGAGACTTCGTGTGCACGATAACCTTTCCCTGGGAAGTAATTTCCTTCCTAAACAAATCAAGTGAAACTTGTTTCCAAGGACACTATTTCCACTGGCAGCTTCTGATGCAATCCGTGAAGATCCGGGTTAGAATTGGTCTTCAGCAGCCCATGCTTGTCGTTAGAGGCGACTAACATGTCATCGTATTCAATTGTGTAGATCGATGGTCATGCTGTTGATCACTGGATTAAAACTAAACTCACTCACTCACTTATTGATGCATGTTGTTGTCTGACTGCACCTTCGAATAACCGTTTTTCATTTGTTTCATTTCAGCCAATTATCAAACATAGGGGTATAATATTTTGCCCAGCAGTGTATTACACCTGGACTACACAGAGTGATATTGACGCATGGCGCTAAAAAGACACTCGAGATTCGGTAACGTCAGAGAATTCGCCAGTCTGTAGGTAATATATGTTACACACTGTGCTTATTGTGTTTATGCAGAGATGTATCACGCATAGTGACAGTTGATTTTACTTTGTTTACATTGTGTTAACGAGTTACCTTTATGTACACGCGAGATGTCTGTAAATGGTGGAGGATTTTCAACTGATACAAACCAAATATAGACAGATGGTATGACAGATGACACCTGTCTAATAAGACGATGTCTTTGTTTATTATTCCCAAAGCAAACTGAATATGAGCTGTATCATAAGGATCTCTTTGTAAATTCCCATCCGTTATCCGAACAGAAAAAGTGATTTTTCATCGCCATCGCTGCTTTAATCTTGTCACAGCAGTTCGGATATGTCAAGAAGGTTTCTCTTAAAAAAGACGTTACGTCAAAAAGTACTTATGTTTTGGTGAAATTGGGTTTAACGTCGTGCTTGAGAATATTTCGCTCATATGACGACGTGCATGCGTGTGTATGTGTATGTGCGGCTGCTTGTACTAGCCCAGACTGAAGCTGGTTTTATAGTGCTAGCCCACTGAGATACCATGCCGCAGTAAAGCATGAATACCCCACTCAGACACATTATACTGACTCCGAGCCGACCAGTCCTTGTTGTACCCATTAATGCCGAGCGCCAGACAGGGACCAACAAGTACCATATTTTAACGTCTTTTAGTAAGACGCGGTTGGGGATCGAACCCGCGACCTTCCGCTCTCCGGGCGGACGCTCTAACCACTACACCACGGAGGCTGTCCTTTACGTCAGTAGTGATATGGACGTGGCATTTGTACTTCCTTTTTTATCCTGATAGGAATAATCGTTCAGCGTTATTGATTATAGTTTAATTATTTGACCAAATACTCCCAGATTATATTTTGGACTCAGACTTTGAGTGGTGTATCCCTTTTCGCCCAAAGTCACTGATCATTGCAAGAACCTTTATGAATCAGCTTCGAACAGAGACATATACTAAAGAGATATATTAAGTGCCTGATAAGGGTTTGATCAGTGGCCAGTCCCTCTGAAACAGAACGAGCTGATATTTCTCCACTGCTGAAGTTTCTCAGATAAGGGAATACTCTCTTCCGGGAAACGATTATTGAACTACCAATATAGCGTCGCCCAGTCATTCGTTGTTTGGTGATTGCCTTATCGAATGGCAAGGGGTTATCGTACAATTGCCTGCTCAAATCTAAGGCGTGGCTTTTGGAGTTGTCCCTTATCGTGAGGTACTGGATCACACCCCAAACGTTTGCCAAGTTCACAAGTGTCACAGATTTCTGCTTAATGTACTGGCCTATCAAAAAGAACAATGCATATTAAGTCTTTCTTTTTTTTGATGATCTCGACGGCAACAAACAATCAGAATTACGTAAATCCTTTCATGTGATATTAACAACTTATCAGTGAATCCTCGTATGCTGCATATATGTGTGAGCGTACGAAAGAACATTTTTATGTTTTACCTTTTGAATATGCCACTTTTAAATCAGTCAACATTGTCTGTTTAACTCTGTCTTGACGTGATTTGAAAAGAGAATGAAGAACCTACCGTGTCCTTGTGTTGGGTTACAATACAAATGTCACTACTTTCCTCATCAAGATTACATCCACGAGTAACGCCGAGTGTGGTAATCTATAGGTTAGGCAAGCTGTGCATATGCTACTTGGCGATTCGGTATTGCGGATTTGCCTTTTATAGTAGACGTAAATAAACTATCAGACTGCTTTTCAACGATTGGTCATTCTTGAAACAAGATTTATTGGTTGCAGTTGGATTGTTAAACAGGGGTGTGTCATATGTGTCATAACATGTGTGAGATTGGAAAATAAATCCTTTGAAATATCTCAGACTTAAAGGCACTATTTCACACCACACTCCTCTAAAAATAAATAATGCATTTCTCTCAATAATACTAACTATCAGCCCCTCAGGGAAGCTACCATATAATTCATTAAAAAAATACGTATTTAGATCACAATATTATATTAAAAAGTTCGAATGAATGAATGCAACGTTGCATTAAATCGACTCTCGCGCCCGCTTACGACCGAACATTATTTCAAGCGAAACCCATAGCGTTGTGCCCCTTGGAGCGCTGTTTACGAATAATTCCTTTGGAGACAGAACTCAGTCCTATAAAAGACATAAACGCAACACTGATGTAAACCAGTTCGGCAAAAAACAGTTTCAGACAACACCGCGTGCAGCAGTTTTTCGATTTACGGGGCAGTTGTTTCCATTCCATAAAAGGCAAGTGCACTCTGTTTGGAAGCTTTCGCCTCGAACAGTTTCAGTTATCGATTTCAAGCAAGTCGTGAGGAATAAGTCTTTTATTGCATCAATAGGAAGCTAAAGCGCATATGTTCCACTATTTATAATATACTAGCCACATAAAGAAACTGTGCATTGTCAAAATGTTATCCCAGTTGATAAGTACGATAACAATGTCAAAGGTACATATAAACTTCAATGGAGGGATCATGAGACCATAACAAGTCGGGAGATTTCATTTGAAAAATCAGTCACAATGACGTCACGAGTCCACAAGCGGGACAGGGGTCAAACGACCATGTCACAAGCTCAATAACGGGTATGTCCACCATCGGCATTGAGAACAGCAGTGCATCGACGACGCATAGAGCCTATCAAACGTGCAAGGAAGGCTTGTGGGATGTCACGCCAGATTCTCTCAAGCTCTGTTGCAAGGTCAAGGACGTTATCTGGCGGATGAGGAAGACGGCGTAGACGTCGATCCATCTCGCCCCAAACATGCTCTATCGGGGAGAGATCCGGTGAAGTTGCAGGACAAGGCAGTAAGTCAACGTTGTGGTGTTGCAAGAAATCCATAGCAACCCTTGCCGTATGAGGGCGGGCATTGTCCTGTTGGAATGTTAACCCAGGGCCATGACGTTGCAGAAAAGGAATTGCCACAGGTCGAAGAATCTGATCCCTGTAGCCCACACCAGTTAAGTTGCCCTGAACAACCACCAAAGGAGTTCTTTGGCGTGCTGTTATTCCACCCCAAATCATCACGGAACCACCACCACAAGCGATTCCTCTCCAAGACACAGGCCTGTGCATAACGTTCTCCCACGCGTCTATAGGCACGTTGACGTCCATCACTATGGAAAATGTTAAACCTGGACTCATCTGTAAAAACAACATTTCTCCACCAAAACAAGGGTCTGCGGACATGATTTCGGCACCGAGCTTGTCGATGACGTTATGTCAGGATAGGCCGTATGGCGGGACGTCGTGGTCTGATCCCGTGATGACGTAAACGTTGTCGAACTGTGTTTGGATGGATACGGCGAAGTCCTGGGATGGTTCGGGCAGTCATCACTGCAGTCTGAAACCTGTGGCGAAGATGGGTCACCCTTATCCATCTGTCCTGTCTTGGCGTTGTTACACGTGGACGTCCAGAACGTGGCCGATCGATGACGTCATTTGTGTTCTGGTAGCGTCTCACCAGTGCAGAAATGGTGTTCCGGTGGCAGTGGAAATGTGCAGCCACTTGTCGTTCAGACATTCCCCCACGGACCATCCCAATGGCCTCATGACGTTGTGCAGACGTGAGCCTTGGCATGCTATGCGTTTCAATAGCCGTTTAATTTTTGAACGATCGCAAGGGCAGGGGTTGAGCTTTCCAAAGTGACAGTATTGTGTGGCATTCATTTGCTCTGTTTCTCTTTCCCGGAATGCACGTGCAACAACGTATTGCACGTCTCAAGGACGAACCCACTGACGTCACGGAACGTGGCACGTGCATGCATGTTGGATACATGTCACTAATCTCTGAGTTTAAATCCTTATGTGTCTACACAGGTTTGATAAATTTAGATTTTAAATTTTTGTATGCACAGTTTCTTTATGTGCCTAGTATATATTCCAAATTATTGCTGAAAATGTGTGAAATTGTGCCTTTAAATATGAGATCTTACTACCAACATTTACAGGTAATCTCAAGGACCACATGTACTTAATTTACACCAGAGATGCTTTGCCTAGGAATGCAAGGTAAACATCCGCTAGTCATGATAAAGTAAACTTCGTTTATAACGAACTGCTGTTGGTCCCGACCATTCGTTGTATGTTTTAGTCGAAATAACGAACCACGGTTATAACGAATTAATGGAAGTGACCGCTTTGAGTTTTTTAAAATGACGAGAAAGTAGAAATGTCGCCTTTCCTAGGTTGTGTCACTATTTCTATAGATCCAATATACATTTATTAATATACACATGCGGGTAAAAGATCTGTACGTGACTTCCAGGAAGGGTTACTGTAAGCTTTGTTTGATATTTAACTCCGCACTCTGCAATATCCCAGCTATACGACGGCGGTCTGTAAATAATCGAGTCTGGGCCTAGATTTTCGAAGCTCTCTTAGCGCTAAGATAGTCGTAACGTAATGTTAATGTATTGCACTTACGACTATCTTAGCGCTAAGAGAGCTTCGAAAATCTAGGCCCTGGACCAGACAACCCAGTGTCTGACATCATGAGCACCGTTCTACGTAAGCGGGATACGATGACACGCATCAACCAAGTCAGCGGGCCTGAATCCCACTTTCTATTTACGATCCCGTTAGTCTCCTCTCAAACGACGTAACCGACTGGGTGGGTTGCTACGATGGTACGGGGCCCTGTTCTAACCCGGATCTTCAGGGGTCGGTTCATTTAAGCATGTGAACATGTAAAACACGTTCACAAATGTAACTGCTTTGCACCGACCGATATGTCCAACCAAGGCTGTGCTGTTTGATAATGCTATAAATAATGATACGCGGATGTGATAACTATTCTCCAGGTACGATAGGTCTCCGACCTACGCTCTTCTATATTGGCAACTGAATTGATCGTCGTATCCCGACACTCGTAACATCGATTTGACTCGAATATTTACACGCCGAATATTTCGCACTTTAGCTTTGAATAACAAACGAAAAGACTCAGAGCAGGTGCAGAGAGTGTTTAGTTTGCCTATTGTTTTACATACTTACTGTTTTACTAAGAGTTGGTAAAACAATCGTTCTGACAGGGGGTGCCCAGATTGTTAACAAGAAGGTTTATCTCGATCAACCCTTAAATCTCCTGGACATTTCTTCAAAAGAGTGTCTTGAACACATAAGAGGTCTGTACTTGGCAAGTGTCAGGTGAAATAGGGTTTAACTTCGAGCTCAAGACAAGCGCCTAGCAAGCCATATTTTACGTGTAAGCCCGAAGGGTTGCAAAGCTTTATATTTAGATACTATTGAGGACTTATCCAACTTTCATTTTCAAACTCATGTGTAAGCCCGGTCTTTTTTCAATAATGGTAGCTACGCCCCTGCAGGAATAGTGTACTTTCACTCCTAAACATCAAAGGGAAAATGAAACGCGAGATAATGTTTATTCATAAAACATTCAATACAAATGCATTATTTTTCATTGTTCGGCGTAGGCAACATTTTGGTTATCTGGCGTAGTGCACAAATACAACTATTCTGTCTCACAGTCCCTGAACCACATTATTTTCCCTACTGCCTAGCCCTCCCTGCAATGCTGAAGTGCTACATGAAGCAAGTCTAGATTTCCTCAGGTTCAGAAATCTCCCATCTCACTGGGGCTTCTTTTCAGTTTAAAGGGTTTATTTGTTACTATCAAAATTACATATATTCAGAGACTAAAACAGAATCGTTTTAATCTTTTGTAGGTTTATACTGCAATTTATATACGACTGCATGGGAATGTCATAAAATGGCATTCAAATCGGAATGCGCGTGCAAGTTGTGACAGTCATGTGTAAAAGGTCAAATGTCAGCGTTTTGTCACACTTATTAACTTATCGGAAGCGGGAAAACTCCGAGAAAGCTGTAATTCCAACATGGCCACAGGGCGTCTTGAAGCTGGAGAGCCTAGGTCTGTTGGTCCACGTATTTTCATGATCTATATATGGGAATTAGACATAGAAGATCGGTATTTGTCACTTTGAGACGTTTGCATCAGCGACAACCCATACGATGGAGCTGAGCCGTACATAAATGGACGCTGTGAGATCGCGCTCTCATTAACATTCCACGATTGGCTAGCGCGTTACCTGAAGTATAAAGGACACTTCAACATGACAATTGGTTGGTTGAATGGTTGATTTGATGTTTAACGCCGCAGTCAGCAATATTCCAAATATATGACGGCGGTCTGTAAATAATCGAGTCTGACCAGACAATCCAGTGATCAACATCATGAGCATCGATCTCACGCAATTGGGATACAATGACATGTGCACTCAGCAAACCAAGTCAGCGAGCCTGACCACCCGATCCCCGTTAGTCGCGAGCCTATTACAAGTATGGGTTGCTGAAGACCAATTCTAACCCGGATCTTCACGGGTCCAGTCCACAGGACACAATAAGTAGGGCAGAATACGTAGGCGTTTTGCAGTATGTCTATAGTATGTGTGACTATCACCATGCCTTGTTTCATCCTTTTATTAGTCATATACTCATGCAATAATGGTTATCAAACCCTTCAATTTTTTTAATTGGAGAGGGGTGGGGGTGGGTGTGGGGTCGGGGTGGGGAGGGGGTGACAACCATTATTGGCATGAGTATATTAAAGAAATAGGAGGAGAGAACAGAGGTCATTAGAAATATTATATTTCATTGACTATGAATTAC